GACACTGAGTTTGCAATTTAGGAACACAACTTCAACAATATTTGGTTTTTGGCCCTTTATATGAAATTTGGTCACCCATGGTTTAAAATAACGTTGCATAAGAGTTGTTCTACACATTTTGATAGAGCAATTTTGTGAGTTAGGAACCACAACAAAAATATATTTCTGCTAAACTCATTATCTTTTAAAATTAGACTGCAACTAAATAGTACTATCCTCTTCCCAATGAACTAAAAGACACTTAAAAAAAATCCCACCACTGAATAAAACAAAGATTACGACTTTAACAGTCAGAATTCTGAAATATAGAGTTACAATTGCATCGTCACAATCTTTATAATTTTTTTTCATTAGCGGGAAAGAGCTTCCATACATTTCCGTGTAAGCAGTGAGTTACCATCCTTAGATTTGAAAGTACTGCACGTGAAACAACAACAACCAATACAAGTGACCGTATAAACGATAACATGCGTGAAACAAAATACATACATTACATTCCTTACCTCTTTAATTAAGTTCACCAACGGTGTCATCTGTACAGGTCCACCAAACAGCCCGTGAACAATAAGCACTGGCCTGTACGCCATGATGGCTGAGGGCAGCAGCAGTAAAACAACCAAAATAAAAACACATGGTCTGCAGCCATCAGCCATCGCCACAACTGCTTATAATCTGAAATCAAACATGTATATAATCCTTTCATAATTATAACAAGCCAAACTTAAATTAGACACCCAAGTAGGCATGACTAACCTTAGCAGGACGCTCCACGATAAAACAGCTGGTAAATTGTTTGGAGCGTGATGTTCTGTCGCTTGAGGTGACGCTTTTATAGTATCCGCTTAAGTGATGACGTGTTGGTGACGTATGTAATACTGTTACCACCGGGTCCAAGCCGCCACTCATTTGAGTTGAGAAATTATTTGTTTATGATCACTTTCAATTCATATCACACATTAAAGTTAATTTTATATAAAGTCATAGTGTACACAACAATCTCTGGGCTTGCTGCATCAAAAATACCAAAATTTTAACAATTTATAAAAAAAATGAATGACTTTCGGGCCATCGGATATTAGGCATGGACATTAAAATTGCGATCGATATTTTCGAAAGTATTAAATCGCTTTGTAAACGTTTATAATTAACACTTAAGTCTCCCCATACATTTGAATAGAGCGCTTGGACCCGGAAGCCGCTTCGCGTGACGTCACACTTAACAAGCGGATTGTCCATTTCACGTTATTAAAAATCAAATTGCTCCAAGAGGGAAATCATATTGGTCAGCATTAATAGGAAGATATTGATTGGAAAAGAACATAGCTTCTCCCATATAAATATGTAATCCCAAACAAAGCAAAGGAAATCCATTTTAAAATTCTACAAAAATACCCGGCCAATGCATTTATCTCAAAAATTACTGATATTGCAGATACTTTTGTTCAGGAAAATGAGGAAACTTTGACTCACATGTTTTTTACATGTAAAATCTCACAAAATTCGGTCAGATCTTATTTGAATAAATCCCAATCAACAAAACAAGATTAAGCAAGTAAATCTAGTAAATGTTGTGCAACTTATATCCCTACTGATGGGGTAACTTTAAAATCAAGTGCATGCATAAATACATGTGGTTACGATTAGATTGCAAGCAGAAAACGTGCTGTTTCTGTTGGACTTTAATTTTGACAGCAAGCTTATATTGTATCTTTGATAAAACACAAGCTTTTATGACCTTAAGACTTGCAGGAAACATAACTATCAGACCTAAACACCCCGCAAAACAAACACTCAAACAAGAAAAACGATGCGCTATCTTTTAGAGTTATGAAGAATGAGAAAAACAACGCCTGTCATAAACTTCATTATGCATATATTTTATATTATTGTATATTTCATATTTGTAAAGGCTATTTTTTATGCTTATATATTTTATATTTGCTTTACAAAGTGTACATTCATGCATGCACCACAAAGGTTATTTATGCTACATCCATCTTTAATAGGCATAAAACAATGGCTCATTTATGTTGCAAAGCTAGTTTTTGTAATAGTTTTTTAAATGTTAACAACGGATGCTATTTTTCTCCATAAATAAATAAATAAAACCAAAAGGGAAAGTGGAGTGTGCATTGATAATTGTTTCTGGTTTGAGCCTCGACTGTGTCAGTTGGCGCTTCTGTGTGGAGTTTGCATGTACTCCCCGTGTTTGATTGGGGTTCCTCCGGGTGCTCCGATTTCCCCCACAGTCCAAAGACATGCGCTTTAGGAGAACTGGATAAGCTAAATTGTCCGTATTGTATGTGTGTGTGTCTGTGTGAGAGTGTGTATGGATGTTTACCAGTGATGGATTGCAGCTGGAAGGGCATTTACTGCGTAAAACATGTGCTGGATAGGTTGGCAGGTGATTCCGCTGTGGCAACCCCAGATCAATTAAGGGACTAAGCCGAAAAGAAAACGAATGAATGAATGAATTTAATGAATTCAATTTTAGCTCATCTTTTTTTCTATAGCTTTTTTTCTAGTGTTCCAGAAACCCCTACCAAGATAGTCAGATATGCAAGTGAAAGTGAAACTCCACCAATTGACAGACGTTAAGAACAAACATTTGGCTAAACAGGCTCCACAAATGTATGTTAAATCATAGTAACTATAGTATATGGCACTACTGATTTGGTAAAGAGACTCCTTCACCCAATAATGTATATTCTGTCATCTTTTACTCAGCCCTTACTATAAGTTTCTTCTGTTTTACACAAAAGAAGGTATTTTGAAAAATGCTGGACACCTGTAACTATTGACTTCCACTGTATTTGTTTTTCTACTATGGATGTCAGTGGTTACAGATTCTCAGATTTCTTTAAAGTATCTTCTGTAGTGTTCAACAGAAGAAAGAAACTCATAGGTTTGGAAGCAATTGAGTAAACAGTTTAGGGAGAACTATCTCATTAATTGAGGAAGAAGTCATTTAGAAAAGTCACGGAAATGACGATCAGAGCTTCAGTTTGATTTACATGATTTTATTTAAATTATTAATAATATATAAAAGCAATTCTTTACAAAACAATTGTGAACGCTTAGTTATAAAACAACCCCTCTCTCTTTTGACAGAACACCAGATTCATTTGTGAGGAAGAAAATAGTTGAGCAGATCTTTGATGACACTCTAGAGGAGAAAACTGACAGCACTGGACTTCTATTATTACTTCTATTAGTGCTGGACTTCTATATTACTAATGGAGTTTTAGCATTATTTCAGTTCAATTCATCTTCATTTCTATAGCACTTTTACAATGTGGATTGTGTCAAAGCAGCTTAGAAGTAAATTAAAACTGTGTCAGTCCAGTTTTCAGAGTTGAAGTTCAGTTCAGTGTGGTTTAATTTTCACTGCTGAAAGTCCAAACACTGAAGAGCAAATCCATCTATGTGCAGCTCCACAAGTCCCAAACCGAGCAAGCCAGCGGCGACAGTGGCGAGGAACAAAACTTCACCAATTGACTAAAGTGAAGGAAAAAAACCTCGAGAGAAACCAGGCTCAGTTGGGCACGACCATTTCTCCTCTGGCCAAACTTCTTGTGCAGAGCTGCAGTCTAGGCACCGTTATCGTCATTAATTACTCACCTCATGTCCTTAGTTCATATTTAAGTTTACTTCATATTGAACACAAATGAAAACATTTTAGTTGAAATCTGAGAGCTCTCTGACCCTCAAACCGCACGTTCATAAGAGCACAGTGCACTGTATGTGTGACACACCCCAGGGCCAGAATAACATAAGGTCTAGGTGTGGCTGAAGCCCCAGGCCCACGGAAGAAGGGGGCCCTTGATTGGCGGAAGAATTAATTTGAGCTATGACGCTGGAAAACGCCTCTTTGCGTTATGCTTTTTCTAGTCAATAAAGTCAAGTATTCCTTTCGGTTCATTGCTGTTCAAAAATCAGTGACGCCGGTGCTAAACTGGGGCTCAGAGTGGCTCTAGCACAATCAGAAAATTGAATAGCCCTGTTTTAGTCACCCATAAGGGTGATCAGATGTCCCAATTTTTCGAGAAATTTTTCCATAGTTCTTTATTTCGGCACTATACCACGAGAACCGACCAGTCAAAGATAGGCTAACCAAGCTCGTCTTAGGACAAAAAATAAAATCTTAACAGTCTTCATCATTGATATACTTGTAACAGAAGCTGGGTAGGCGGAATCAAGCTGAATGGACTCATAATTAAAGTGCTGTCTCAGCCGCGCTGCGGTTACAGCTGGACTCAAACCTGCGTGTGCCCGCATAATCCTTACATAACACAATATAAACGACACAATGCACAAACAAATCAAACAGCCTACATGAGCAGTTATCAAAATATCCATCGTTGCGAACTCTCTACTGTATCTCAAGTAAATACACTCAGTTATGCTTTACAGTAAGTCTAACTGAACCAGTTAGAAAGCAAACTTTTTTTTTATAAATGTTAACGTTCCCCCAATAATATTGGCGCTGGCTTTCATTAGACAATATATCTGATGCAATAAATACATAAATAAATAAATAAATAAATAAAATAAGGATGCCTTCTGTAAGTCAGAAGACCACAATTTTGGATATTAGAGGCATGGATATTAAAGATATTATATCATTAGAGATTTATGGTCAGCTAAAGTTCTAAAGAACCTTTAAAGGTAAACCTTAAAGTATTTATTATAAAGCACTAATTTAGGAAGTAATGCAAATGTTTTTTTTTTGTTATGCTGATTTTTGCAGTTTGTTTGAACTTTAAAGTTTATATTATGTCATTACTTAGTTTTGTATAATTGCAGGCATATTTTAATAAAATAGAAAAAAAAATATAATAATCAATCATAAATCAAATGATGGAAAATAAGATAATAATATTAATTAGTAAATTATTAATAATAATAACAATAATAATAACAACAACTATATATATATATATATATATATATATATATATATATATATAATTTATTTATTTATTTTTGGAGAGGTAAAAATATAAAAGGGGGGCCCTTGGATTTGCTATAGCCCCAGGGTCCAGTGTGTTCTTAATCCTGCGCACTGCTGATGTTTAACCCAGAGGCCTGCTCGACTTCCTCTGATTTAAACAAAGCATGGGAACATCCGAGGTAAACATCAGCAGTGCGACACACATACAGTGCAGGACAGAGCTCTCATCAACACACGTCATGAACTGACACTGAAGAAAAGTAAGGTCTTAGGGGTTTGGAATGACATGAGGGAGTAATTATCAACTTTAACAGTCTTGTGAAATGTCTGGAAATGGTGCTCTCCTCCTCCTCGCTTCTTTAGTTTTTTCTAAAATGAAGAAAAACAATCAGAAAGAACACAAAGTTATTCAAGCAGTAATATGAAGGGCTGTCAAATAAAACTCACTGTGTTCCTCTACCTCCTCTTGCCTAACTGCTTCACAGGATTTGGGGTCGTTGGATTGAACCAGCAGTGCTCTTCAACCTGATGTAACTGTAGCCGTTTCACTGGATTACGGATCAAACACTGGGAAATCAGGTCCACGCATGCTGAAAAGTGTCACAGAGAGTGTGAAATATGTCTGCATACTCAAGATTCATGAACGTGTTTGAATTTTACTACATCAAATGTTACAAAACATCCATAATTAAGTGACTTTAATATCTACACTGCAAAAAATTCTTTTCTTGCTTAGATTTTTTGTCTTGTTTCTAGTCTAAATAGCTAACATTTCTTATATCAAGAGTCATTTTCTAGACAAGCAAAACATATTGTCTCGTTTTGAGAAATAATATGCTAATATTAAGTTAGTTTTTCCTTAAAACAAGCTAAATAATCTGCCATGGGGTAAGCAAATTAATCTCGTTTTTTCTTTTGACGTAAGATCATTTTGCTTGCCCCATTTGCAGATTATTTTGCTTGTTTTAAGGAAAAACTTACTTATTATTGGCATATTATTTCTCAAAACAAAACAATATGTTTTGCTTGTCTAGAAAATTCTTCTTGATTTAGGAATTTTCAGATATTTAGACTAGAAACAAGACAAAAAAAATCTAAGAAGAAAAAGCATTTTTTTGCAGTGTACAGGTCCTGTAAACATTATATTTAATCCATTTTACTTATGACTGACTATTTTATTCTGTCACTGAGGCTGAGATTGTTCAGAGGTGTCTGCTTACCTGTGGATAACCTGGGGTGTATCTGAATGGAGCCAAACATGATTGACTGTCTGTTATTAAAGGCCAATCGTCCATGCATTATTTCATACAGCGTGATGCCAAGTGTCCAGACGTATGCGGGGTTAGCATGGAATACACGACACCTTAAAGCCTCAGGTGGCATGCAATTTCCAGCTCCTGTAAGAGAGACATTTCAAGAATTCAGTCATTTCACACGACAATACTGAGACCAAAGAAACTACACAACATGCCAACTCACCTCGATAGTCACTTCTATTAAAAGGCTTGTGGGTTATTGGCTGAGCACAACCAAAGTCGATCAATTTGAGCTCTAATCGGGGTTGAGTCACCAGGATGTTCGCCGTGTGTATATCACCATGGAAAACTCCACGCTCAGCGCAGAACATTACAGCTCGGATCAACTGCCGCATTAACCGCCGTGCTTGGTTTTCTTCAATGTCCACTGTGTCTCTGATGTACTGATGCAAGGTCTGGCATGACTCTGCGTACTCCAGAATGAGAACAAAGTTGTTCTCAAGCTCAACCCAGTCGTGTAATCTGATGATGTTTGGACATCGCGGCGCATTCATCAACCTAAGCATCATTGCCACTTCTGCAAGCACAGGTGTGGAATGACCATCCTAGAAAAGAAAACAGATTTCAAAGATATTACCAAAGAAGAATGGCACAAAAGTACAGAAACACAAACTTTACTATGCGAATAATCACTAAGCTCCATGTTTTGACTCATTTTTACTTGTATTTGAGCATTCAGTCATGCAGTTTAAGCTAAAAGAGGAGTCTACACGAGTGTGTTCTGTCCGTCTCTGAGGCTGAGCACATGCACACAACAGCACAAGCTTTCTTTAGCACTATTGAATGACTCATAGACACTCTAATAAATCAAGCACATCCCTTGCTGTAAAAGTCACGCTACATGATTTCAATGATTTCCAGCTTTGTGTAGAAATGAAAGCAGACTGCTTTACAAGGGGCCTGGATATGAATTAAAGATCATTTTAATCTCCATTAATGTTAAATGAATTTTAATTAATTACAACAGCCAGACATTCATGTGTTCAAAACTTGTCTCTGGGTTTATTTCTTCTGCTGAACACAAAAGAAGGTATTTTAAAGAATGTTGAAAACAAGTAAGTGTAACCTACGCCAACCAACCTGCTCCGAGCTGGTATCGAACTGGCAACCTTCCGCATGGGAGTCCGTTGCTCTACCAAGGAGGCTAAAAACCATGGCTTCTAGCATCTGTGGCTAGAGCACCTTTAGAGGTCAGAGGAGTGAGGTTTATCTGTACAGCACTTACTAGCTGCATCTGTTACACTCACCCCCCTAAACCTCACTCCTATCCGTGTCACGGCACCAATGTAACCCCGCCAGTCCTACGTCACCCAATCGGCTCTGAGCTGGTATCGAACTGGCGACCTTCCGCATGGGAGTCGGTTGCTCTACGAAGAAGGCTAAAGACCATGGCCTCTAGCATCTGTCGCTAGAGCACCTTTAGAGGTCAGAGGAGTGAGGTTTACCTGCACAGCACTTACTAGCTGGCCTCCGTTACATAAGCATTGGCATAAGCATTTACTTTTCTACAATAGAAGTCAGTGGCTACCTGTTTCCAACATATCTGCTTTTGAGTTCAGTTTAAAGTGGTCCAGACAGGTACGGGACAAGTGAAAGAGGAGTAAATGCTCAGCACATTTTCACTGTTTTGTGAATTATTCAACTTACAACGTCCAGATAACGGTCCTCTTGACTCTTCACCATACACTTTAGGGCAACCTGTGGAAAAACAACGACAAATTAAATTAAAGCTAATAAATTATTTACATTTAATAATCAGGAGGAAAATGTTCATAGAATTTTTTAAAAATTGTTCTCTACCTTTACACTTTTACTGCGTTTGTGAGATGCCACATACACCTCGCCAAAAGTTCCATCTCCAATCATGTCTCCGACTTCAAACTGAGACAGATCAAATCCTGAAAAACAGAAAAAAGCAGGGAGATTTACTTGGATTGTCTGGTATGAAACGGATCAAATAAAAGACTCCCGTCCTTTAAATCTGGATCTAATGCAATGATCTAAAAGCAGTAACTTCTATCAGAACTGCAAGAGTAAATTGATTAATAATATTTTATTATTTATGAATTACAGAATGATGACTTACCACGAGTGAGCCCAGAAGCCTCCTCAGAAAGCTGGCCTGGCAGACATACTGACTCAAGGTCTGGGTCGGGCTCGAGCTCAGGCTGTGGCGTAAAATGCAGGAAAGGGAGCTTTGCAGCCTTCCATACTCTCTTAAAGAAAGCAGAGACTCTTTTCCCTTTCCTTCCTTTCTTGGGTTTTTCTAAAATGAAGAAAACAAACAGAAACATCTCCATGGACAGAGCTGCAGCTACAGTGCTCAGCATATTCAGATATGTTGTACACCCCATTTTGAAAATGAAGATTTGTATCCATTTGTCAGTGAATATGGGTAATATATAGTAATATATATTGATGCATTTGAACAAAATGTATTTAATAAACAGATTTATTTATTAAAATAATACTTTAGTCACAGAACATTTTTAGAAATGGAAACATAATACAATTAAATCTGTGCAAAACAGTGCAACAAACAAATTACAAACTACAACATTTCAATAAAATTTTCTAGATTTTTGCTTCTCTTTGATTTTTGCTTATTTTGAAAATGAAATTTAATATTTTCCCCTAACATATACATTTGGGCTACACATTTTTTAACCATTATTGTAAGTTATTTTGTTAGATAAACTCCCGATTTTGCTTTAGTACTGACTAATCTAATGTACATGCACAATCTAATATTGTAAAGCATCCTATAGAAAATATGAATTTAAATGAGAGATTTGTGGGGGTGTACTTATATATGTTTAGCACTGTATTAATTAATACACAACCAACAGTACAACACATGTCACTGTCTGATTTATAAACTAAAAACAACAAAGCGTAAAAATAACAGATGGAAGAAATAAAATGAACCAAATTCAGGATGACTCACCATCAGTCCCATCAATTTTAGAGGGGTCTTGAACAGACGAAGGCGACTCAGGACTGACCGAATCTGCATCCGTCGTTTTCTTAATATTGGAGGGGCCCGGAACACTCAACAGCTGAGGATCTTCACAGACCTGGACTGGCGGACGCATCTGCTCAGGTTCAACATGATCTGCGATGGTCGTTGTCTTGAACCTGGATGGTCCTGGAACAGCTAACGACTCGAGACTGTTGCAGACCTGGACTGGCGGACGTATCTGCTCAGTGTCAACATGACCTGTGAGGGCCGTTAAGGACTCAGGACGGGCCGGATCTGCATTTGGCACATGTCCTGTTTGCTTGATCCTGGAGGGGCCCGGAACACTCAACGGCTGAGGATCTTCACAGACCTGGACTGGCGGACGCATCTGCTCAGGGTCAACATGATCTGCGATAGTCGTTGACTTGATCCTGGATGGTCCTGGAACAGCCAACGACTCGAGACTGTCGCAGGCTTGGACTGGCAGACGCATCTGCTCAGGGTCAACATGACCTGTGAGGGCCGTTGAGGACTCAGGACGGGCCGGATCTGCATTTGACACATCTCCTGTTTGCTTGATCCTGGTGGGACCCGGAACACTCAACAGCTGACAATCTTCACAGACCTGGACTGGCGGACGCATCTGCTCAGGGTCAACATGATCTGCGATAGTCGTTGACTTGATCCTGGATGGTCCTGGAACAGCCAACGACTCGAGACTGTCGCAGGCTTGGACTGGCAGACGCATCTGCTCAGGGTCAACATGACCTGTGAGGGCCGTTGAGGACTCAGGACGGGCTCGATCTGCATTCGGCACATCTCCTGTTTGCTTGATCTTGGAGGGGCCAGGAACACTGAACGACTGAGGATCTTCACAGACCTGGCCTGGCAGCCACACCGGCTCAGGGTCTGCATGTCCTGCGACGATCCTGGAGGGACCTGGAACAGGCAGGTGCTCGAAATTGTCGTTTTCTGACTGTGGTTTAAAAGGAACCACTCTGCTCCGGTCACAGCTAAGGAAAGGGCGCTTTGCAGCCTTCCATACTCTCTTAAAGAAAGCAGAGACTCTTTTCCCTTTCCTCCCTTTCTCAGGGTTTTCTAAAGTAAAGGAAATGAACAGGGAAATATAAGAAAACTCTTTAACCACAGGTTTAAAATAGACAAACTGCTGAAAATTAGACATATAAAAGACACTCACACAAAAGAAACATCAACAATAAATGTACAATTATAATAGAAAATGTTTAAAAATTACAATTAATTACGTGGAATTGCAAATCATTTGTCTGACGTAAAATGACAAATACAACCTGACAAATAGTCGGTAAGTCATCCATTTTAGACATTAGGAAAAATCCTATAAGCAACTATTTTGCAAAAATAAACATTTCACTCCTGCTCACACGAAATGCAAACTATTATATTAACTCATTTTTGAGTGAATATTCTGAGTTATGGAATATTTTATTATAGTTATAGTTTGAGCTATTTAACAATCACCATCACAATGTTTAATCAAACTTATGGAGCCTTTAATTTCTTTGTCAGTGGGTGCTACATCTACATCAACATTCTTCAATCAAGCACAACTTCTCCACCACAAAAAAAACGAATGAAACTAAATCCAGATTTTTGCAGCTTTCCCTTAGCAATCGTCAAACTCAAATTAATCAATTTCTCTCGCTCTGCATCTTCAGTTAAGAAATCTGTGAGTAAATTATGACTTTAAACATTTAACAATCAGTCTTAGAAATCCAAATGAAAAGAGAAGTTTTGCTCCAGCACTTCAGATACAGAAACAGAGCTATAGACATTTATTATTATGAAGGTAAAGTTGGGTTTATATTTGGGTTTCTATGTTGTTTAACATGCTAATTTAAATATTAGGAAGTCACATGTAAGTAAGACTTCAAATCAAAATTACAACTAATTAATTGACTGTAAACAATGTTGTACAATGATAGACATTGGCTGTTAATATGATTTCTCCATTTAGACTTTGAAACAATATTTCTTTGTTATTATATTTTTCAAGAGTTCACACTTAGCTGATGATTTACAAAGCTTATTTGGCATGCTGTCCCGGGAGAGAGCCCCGAGCTCAAGGGCTCCTCGAGCCCGGGGCTTCCTCCCGTTGGCAGAGCAAGAAGGGAGCCCGAGCTCGGTGGATCTCAGAACTCCCCTGCTGCTGTAGCTAAGGGAACGTAAGGAATTAGACAAGCTTGATTGTTATGTATGTTGAATGTCTTTGGATGGTGGGAGGAAACCGGAGAACCCGGGGAAAACCCACGCGGACACAGGAAGGACATACAAACTCCCCACAGAAACACTCACCGGTCCTATAGAACTAGGACCGGCAGTATTCTTGCTGTGTGGTTCACAGTGCTAACCACTGGACCGCCGTGCCGCCCAATCGCAGGTAAAGGAGGAGACTAGGGGAGGAGGGGGGTTTCTTCCAAACGAAGATAAAGTGAACTGAAAACTGAGGCTATTTATGGTGCCTTAGGGCTCATGTGATTGGAGGATTAGTGATTAGCAAATACGAGACTGGACGTGATAAATCATAAGCACGTGATCCTCTCGAAATTAGTTTATGAATAAACTTCACTTAAGGAGAAAATTTGAATGTGTGAATATTAAACCAATTTTACCTCGATTGTATTAATTTATCCCTGCTTAAACAAATAAAAGACTTAAATATAGTATTCTCACTCAGTTTGCTCCAATATAACAAATATTCCTCCACACCATCAACAACTAAGAAGATTACTGTGTAGGTCTACACAGAGTTTAGATTAAAGTAATATTAGAATGTTTTTGTCAGTAACGTTAGCGAGGCACAATTTCTGTTGAGTGGAGAGAAAAAACCTTAAAGCCAGCTCAATCACAAAGTCAGAAAATACACAATATAAATACACGAAACAATTACAACCAGGAGAGGTTGAATATTTGTCGGTAAGTGGCGTTATATGGCGATGTATTATTATTATTGTTATAGTTTTTTATTAAACAATAGGTGGTAATACACAATTTTTTGTAAACTCTCATCTCACCTGTTGGGCTTCTCGTCATGGTACGAGGTGTTGGAGAAGCCGTCGTTTCACTCTGATAATTATTGTTGACAAATACAGGCATGATCAAATTATCTCGAGTAAAAAACACAGTTGACATATTATCTGCTTTTTGAGAAGCAAAACAAGTTGCTAAAGTCATTAAGTCACTGTTCACTGTACTCGTTTGTTTGTCACTCTGAGGAATTCTGTCATATGACGTAACGGCATTCTTTTCGTTCTATTTATTCGTCATCAGTGAGGTGAGGAGCTCGGGGTGATAAAAGATCTGATCTGAGTTTTGTTGCGCTCCACAACTGAGTTGCTGTTTTTTTTTTTTTTTTTTTTTTTGTCGTGTAATAAATTCATAACAGATAAAGTATGACATATACCGATATGAAAGCTTCAGCGGTTATTATTAAATTGCTATCAGAAATATCAGTATAAACTGCTTCTGCGTGAGCAGCTTCAGAGGTTACAATCATTAGCCTATATTTAACCAAAAGCAAACAAACATGTATTAAAGTTTTTTATTTATTTATTTATTTTTTTATCACAGTTAATAATAAGTGGACATTACTTTATCATTTGATTAGCGTTTTCATATTTGGTGACCCTGCTGTATTTCTGTTACTCTTCATTTTTATTTCAAAAAACAGTTGTTACAGTGCAAAGCTGAGGGGATTAAACACGAGTCAATTTGAAGAAAGAGAGAAAAAAAAAGATTTTGGGTAAAATATAAGGAGTATCATAATTATTTTACCATAAAAATAGCCTTGTCATATTTGGTGACCCTGCTGTATTTCTGTTGCTGAGAAGATTAAACACCACTAGAGAGAATGTGGATAACATTACAGTGATTTTAGGGAATTAAAAGAGATTACTTTGTTTTGGTGACCATGAAAAAAAAAAAGAAACAATCTAATTACATTTGGTGGCTCTGCTGTTATGTACATATATAATGTTAAACAGTTATAATGTTATTGTTATACAGTTGTATAATATATAGGCCTATATATATATATATATATATATATATATATATATATATATATATATATATATATAAACAGTATATTTACGCGATAAATATATAATACATGATGTATGGTTATACAGTGAGAAATTAACGTTTTGATAACGTGCATGGTTCTCGCACGTAATGTAAATCAGCCTATATTTGACGCACATGTAAATAACACGTGTATTCTGGGCAAGAAAGCCTTTAAGATCTGAATACGAATAAACAGCTATTCTAACAATTTCATTCTAACAATGAAAGTTATCTTTCTCAAAAATAAATAAATAAATAAATAAATAATAATAAATAAATAAAAATGAAATAATATAGGCTAATATTTAAATAAAAAAATCGCAGTACAACCACAAGGATGAGTGCAGTGTAAATAAATAGTGGTAGCCAGGAAAGATGTTTGAGTAAGTTTGTCCAAAAAATAAGTAGCTAAATAAATAATTCCGGAACAAATTAATCAGATATAGTCAATCAAAAAATCCTCACGCACAAAGAGTGACCGAAATATGGAGAGAAGGCACATGTTAATATCTGCTGATAAACGATAATGCTCAGCCTGAAGGTGTGATCAGAATAATATAAGCAGAACTTTGCTCACTGGTTGTTGATTTACAGCACATACAAAAACACAGACACGCAGAAAGCCTCAGCGTGAGAGACCACTATCTCAGCAACACCTGAACAGCACACCGGCTGACAGCGCATGCGAACAGAGAAAACATAAGCGCTCTTTTTTCATTAATAATAACACAAGAAACTGTGAAGATGGAGACCCTGAAGCGGTGGATGAAGGACTGGAAGTATCCCACTTCTCTCTTGTTTATCTATGGATTCTTCAGCACAGTCAAGCCTTTAGAGCCGTTTCTTTACCCATTCCTCACTGGACCAGACAAGAACCTGACCACGGAGCAGGTATGGTGACCTGTAGAAAAGTTTAATAATTAACATGTGTTTGGATTTCTAGAGACATGACTAGGTTTTAAAGGGACAGTTCATGCCCAAAATGAAAACGTTTTCTCTCCCAAGTGGTTCCAAAGCTTTATGAGTTTCATCTTCTTTTAAACACTTTGAAGAATGTTAGAAACCTGTAACCATTGACGCCCATTGCAGGATAAACAAATACTATGGAAGTTAACAGTTACCGGTCTTCAACATGTTTCAAAATAAAAAATTTTTTTGGTGTTCAACAGAAGAAAAACTCAAACAGGTTTCTGGCAAGCGAAGGATGAGTGAGGACAGAATATTAATTCTTGGGCTAATTATCTCTTTAAAATAAAAAAAAGACAATTCAGTCACGATTTCCAAACCTGTGGGACTTCCTGTAGGACTCCTCTGTGCTTCACAAACAAGGATATTTTTTTAGAAAGATTCTCATTGTTTTTGTCCATACAATGAAAGGAAACGGTGTACTGTATGGACATGAATAGTTCAAAAACTTTCAAAATATCTTACTGTAGATGAAAGAAAAACAGATTTAGATTGAGGGTAAATAAATGGTGACAGAAATGGGGATTTTTTTGTGATAGCTTTAACTGTTAAATCAATTTTACTGAAGCATGAACCATTTTTTGCTGCCCATTACTCCAATTCAGATGGTTATTAATATGCGTTTGTGCAAAACAAAAGTATTTAAAATTCTAGAAAATAAAAAACAAAACCGAATATTTTAAAGCTGCCATGACTTTTTAATAGTAGCAGAATTGTGAGATGCTATATTTTCTTATAAGTAATTTAGTATATTATTTATTCTTTTTATACAAATATTTATAATAATATTTTTTTTTGTTTTTACATATTTTATGCTTATTTTTCTTAGGCTATGTGTTTTTTAAACTTATGCAATAAAAACTAAAAACATTCACATGTAGTTGGTGCCAATAGCCTAGTGGTTAGTGTGTCGACACAGCACCAAGGTGCTCGTAGCGACCCAAGTTCGATTTCCGGCTCAAGGTCCTTTGCTGATCCTTCCCCTATCTCTGCTCCCCACACTTTCCTGTTTCCACATCTTCACTGACCTATTAATAAAAGTGAAAACCCCAAAAAAGTAATTATATATATATATTATTTTAGGGGAAAAATAATAATTAGGATATTTCTTTAAAATATGTTCTTTTTTTGTTTAACAGAAGAAACTCAATTAAAATGAAGATAAATGGTGACAGAATTCTCATTTTTGACCTCATTTACATCCCTAAATGCTTTTATATGCTCTCATGTGATTGGTTGATGAGATATTTGCAGCTCAATGTGTGTGTATTTATATAAAGCAGCAGAAATCGAGACTCATCAGACCAGGCGACGTTTCTTCAATTGTCCAATTTTGGTGGTCCTGTGCGAATAGTAGCCTCGATTTCCTGTTCTTAGCTGACAGGAGTGGTGCTGCTGTAGCCCATCTGCCTCAAGATTGGATGTGTTGTGCATTCAGAGATGCTCTTCTGCACACCTCAGTTGTAACGAGTGGTTATTTGAGTGGATGCCCTTGAACCATTCTGGCCTACTCCTCTGACATCAACAAGGCATTTGCACACACTGAACTGCCGCTCAATGGATATCTTCTCTTTTTCAGACCATTCTCTGTAAACCCTAGAGAGGGTTGCGCGTGAAATTGTAGATCAGTAGTTTCTGAAATACTCAGACCAGCCCATCTGGCACTAACAAACATGCCACATTTAAAGTCACTTAAATCACCTTTCCTCCCCATTCTGATGCTCGGTTCGAACTGCAGTAAATTGTCTTGACCATGTCTACATGCCTAAATGAATTGAGTTGCTGCCATGAGGTTGGCTGGTTAGAAATTTATTTCTATTACCAATTTATTTCTAAATTGGTTAGAAATAAAGTGGCCGGTGAGTGTACATTAAAAATAAAAAGTGAGGACTTACAAACTAAATGGTAGATTTCCAAGTGCATCCTCATGTGGCTTCAGAATGCTTTGACACATAGCAGTTCCATTTAAATTGATATAAACTAAGCATCTCATTTAATCATTAATGAAAAGAGGACACTTGTGAAGATTTCCAATTGCGTAAAATCATCTTATTTACCAGCAATCATGCCAATAGAACTTGCTGACTGTTGAGTTAAAGAGGATCTATTATGCGGACATCATTTTTATAATATAAGGGGTTTATATCACACTTGATAAAACAGAAACACTTTGATTGACATTCTCTCAGAGGGGAAAGCCCCGCCCATTAGTGACAATCTCTCCCTCATTAGCATTCATGGTAGTCTTGTTTTTGAATCTGCCACTATGCTGACATACAGACATTTGTAGCTCCGCCCTTTTTTGAGAAGAGCCCAATCTCATTCGAATTTAAAGCGACAGTCACCAAATTGGGATTAAAGCCTAAAAAAGGGAGTTTCAAAAAGTTATACATTATCTGCGGGGTATGTTGAGCTGGAACTTCACATACACACTTTAGAGCAGGGGTGCCCAATATCCTCTTAGGACCCAAATATTTTTTTTTCTTTGTTTTTTCCTGTGATCTTTTGGGTTAAAAAAAAAATCTACAATTCAGAGTTTTTGCATTTAGTGTTTATTTTTAATTTTACAGCATGTCCACTGTAGTGGACCACAGGACCATTTTAGTTCAAAATGAAAACAAAAACAAAACAAACTCAACATAAAAAACAAAAACAAACTCAACATAAAAGCGATTTAAAGCTGATTGTCATTCTCTAATTGTCTCTAATTATCTCTAATTATCTAATTGTCTGATTGTCAGACTCTAAATCAGAGTCTCTCTCAAATATCTTATAAAGAATTCTCTCTGCTTCAGTTCTGCCCCCAACAACATGCAGTCATTGGTTACATTACGATGGTCCTGGTGTCCACTATAGTGGATATTTAAAAAAGGATGATATTTTGAAAAACAGCTTTGAAACCTTAATGTATTGGCTCTGACACTTTAAAAAACAAATTGATAATATTATAACAAATATGTAATAATGATAATAAAAAAAACAATTAAAAAAAAATAAATTTTACATGCCTCTCTTCTTCCCATAAAATGTACTTGTTTGTATGCCAGCCATTTGGATGCAATGTAAGAAGTGATTCCTAGCATGCCAGCCAATCAAATTACATATCACTAGAAAGCCCGGAATGTCCTCTGAACAGTACAACAGGAGTTGACATAGTAGCTCAAAAAATTCAAAGAAAATTCATGAAAACACAATGTCCACTACAGAGGACACAAGTCAATAGACGGGGTCTCAAGAGGATATGTCGATTGCGATCGACTGGTAGATCGCAAAGGAATTAAAAAAACATCAGCCTATCATCCACCCTCACTGAAAATTGTCACTTGATTGACATACAGGGGAGTCAGCTGACATCTGACCTTTTCTGACACATGGGTAACCACGTATGGGCATAAAACCACGCAAACTTCGTTAAGTGCTGCAAAACTAGGTACATTTAGCAAAGTTGGCGCGGTTAAGTCCAAAAATCGTTTCACCATGACTGATGATCATTTGGTTGTGAGCTTGAGGCTGTCTATCAGCAGCTACAAATCATCAGAGTAAGGTAATGACAAAAACGTGTACAGAGCTGCGGGCTATTGCACAATACACTTCATACAGTTATGCAAGATACATCAATGTCTACAGTACTAATACAGAATTCTCAATATGTTTATTATTAATGTTTTGCATTTTTATATTAGGTAGATCATTTTGACTTGGTCATTTTATAAGTAGCTCGCATGCTGAAAAAGTGTGGGCACCCCTGCTCTAAGGACATCAGAGGCTTATTTTACATCTTGTAAAAAGGGTCATAACAGATCCCCCTTTAAAGGGAGAGTGTCCATTATGTTAGAATAACCAAAAACAGCCAAATGGTGGTCAGGTTGGACATTGACTCTGTAAGCATTGAACAACAAATGCTATGACTGTATTTTAAACAACTGTCTTCTCTCCTCAAGTTGAACAATCAGATATTCCCTGTGTGGACGTACTCCTACCTGGCTGTTCTGGTTCCTGTCTTCCTCCTCACTGATTGGCTGCGCTACAAACCTGTGGTGGTCTTCCAGTCTTTAATCCTATTCTGCACTACGTCCATGTTGCTGTGGTGTAACGGCGTCCCGGAGATGCAGGCCATGCAGTTTACCTATGGAGTGGTGACATCCTGCGATGTTGCTTACTTCACGTACATCTACAGTATGGTGGAGATCAAACACTACCTGAAAGCCACCTCGTACTGCCGGACCGCCCATCTCCTGGGGTACACTGTGGGCTCAGTTTTGGGGCAGATCCTAGTCTCTTTAGAGCTCATGTCCTACAACAACATTCTAGTGTTTACGCTGGTTCTCACAGGCATTGCGATGATCGCCTCCATTCTTCTCCCGATGCCCAAGGTCAGTATGTTCTTTCATAAAAAGCAGAGCGAAGAGGATGATAATGAAGGACATTCTGGGAATGTCAAACCTTTGGAGCCTGAGGAAGGATTTGGGACAATGGTTGATCTTAGTAATGATGTAAAGGTGGATGAAACCAAATGGCAACAGGATGTACTGGATGGTTCTAATGGCTGTGATAGTAGTAGTGCAAAAAGTTCCAAGTCGAGTAGGAAAGGTGAGTTGAATCTGCAAAAAAAGAGTGCATTAATGGATCGCCTGAAAATATATACCTGCTTTTGATAGTCATTGAGGACATGAACCAACCTAACTGGCTATGAATCACAACATTATAACATTTACATTTAGTCATTTAGCAGAGGCTTTTATCCAAAGCGACTTACAAATGAGGACAAGGAAGCAACTTACACAACTATAAGAGCAACAATGACTAAGTGCTATAGGCAAGTTTCAGGTCTGTAAAGACTAAGAAGGAAAGTATTAGTATTTATTTATTTATTTTTTGAGTACAGTTAGTGGTATATCCAGAGAGGCAATTGCAGATTAGGAAGTGAAGTGGAGACTAAATAGTTGAGTTTTTAGTCGTTTCTTGAAAACAGCGAGTGACTCTGCCGTTCTGATGCAGTTAGGGAGTTCATTCCACCAACTGGGCAGATTTAACGCGAGCGTTCGGGAAAGTGATTTTTTCCCTCTTTGGGATGGAACCACGAGGCGACGTTCATTCACAGAACGCAAGACTATAAATATGATATTATAAATATGATATTATAAAACATGAAGCATAGAAATTTTATATTACATCATAAAAAAGCTAAATGCTGAGGATATGCAGGGCTTTTTGAGCGGCAACTTTGGGAAATGATCCCATAAATGGGCAACCAGGTCAGACATATGACGACTAATTAGGGTAATGGGTTTAATTCAATTCAATTTCATTTCTAAAGCGCTTTTACAATGAAGATTGTGTCAAAGCTGTTTGACATAGAAGTTCTAGTAAATTGAAACTGTGTCAGTCCAGTTTTCAGTGTTTGACTTCAGTTTAGTGTAGTTCAGTGTGATTTCATTTTCACTGCTGAGAGTCCAAACACTAAAGAGCAAATCAATCGATGTGCAGCTCCCATAGTCCCAAACCAAGCAAGCCAGTGGCGAGGAACAAACTTCACCAATTGACAAAAGCGAAGGAAAAAAAAACCTTGAGAGAAACCAGGCTTAGTTGGGCATGACCATTTCTCCTTTGGCCAAACTTCTTGTGCGGAGCTGCAGTCTAGGCGCCGAGGCTGAAAAACGCTGGATGTCCATCGTGGAGAAGCTGCAGGTGTGTGTAGGTCACCGACGGGTGTTCAGGCTGGCCCACAGAATCAATGTGGAGACTTGTCTGTCACTGTTGCCCATTCTTGATAGAAAACTAGACAAGCACCATCACTTTGCAAAATTGCCTGGCAACATAGCTCTAAAATTTGCCCTGTGTATCATTAGCAAGTCAAGTATGTTGATATACTATGTTCCTGAAAGACCCCAGTGACAGATGAGTCTCCACATTGATCCTATGAGCCAGCCTGTACCCCCACCTGTGACCTATTCACACCTGCAGTTCTCCACGATGGACGTCCATTGATGGATTTGCTCTTTAGTGTTTGGACCTCCAGCAGTGAAAATTAAATCACACTGAACTAAACTAAACTGAACTGTGAAACTGACACAGTTTCAATTTACTAGAACTTCTCTGTTAAGCTACTTTGACACAATCTACACTGTAAAAGCGCTATACAAATAAAGATAACCTGAATTGAATATACATCCAACTGAAATAGAATATTGAGTATGGGGCTGAGTTTTTTTGCGCAACATTCCTTCATAGGAAACCAATGGCAAGAGGGGCGGGGTTAGGAGAATATTGCTGTACAGTTGCTATGGAAGCCCTCATGTCAGCAGAAGAACTGCCACTCCTAACATGGAAGCAAACGGTCTGGCTTTGTTTGAAGATTACCAAAACAAACATGTTTTTTCAGCGGTTTTGCAAAATACTCTGCTGAAAAAAAAAACCTAGGCTGGTTGGCTGGTTTTAGCTGGTTGACCAGCCCGGTTTTAGAGGGGTTTTTGGCCATTTCCGGCCTGGTCAAGCTGGAAAATGACCAGCTAAAACCAGCTCGACTAGCATGGTTTAAGCTGTTTTTTTAAGCAGGGTAAACTTAGTAAATTTAGATTTTATGTGTGAATGTCACACACATGAATTAAATCATAGAGACATATAATATTTTTAATAATAATAATAAGCATCTTAAGAATGTAGGGAAGGTTGTCTCATCATTTGTGGTGCTTTGTTGGAGTGGGTGGAGCTAAAGATCTTTTTTTGGCGCACTTTGCTTGCTTCAATTCTCTGATTGGTGGAATTTCTGTAAGGCATCATGGGTAATGTAGTTTTTCTGCACAGATTTGGTTATTTAACACCTGTGTTTTAAAAATAAGTCTCGTTATTGGCAACAGATTTGTTGGCCTTGATCTTCCTATTGACTTTTTAGTCTTTTATTGAAATTTTAAGTCGTTTTTTTCACGTAAACTATGATACAAAACAAGTACCTGATACTTTTCTGATATTAATGCATTTATTACTAAACACTTAATTTATACAGCTTACTGTATTACTTCAAATGTCATTCGCAATTCAGTTTTTTCTGTATATAAAGGTTGTAATGTTGTAATTTATTCACCTATTGCTGGTAAGTCTGGTTCATGGCTTATAATGTTTAATTAAAGACATTTTTAAGAATGAACAGACATTGTGTACAGTCTATAATTTTACAAGTTATAAACAGTCAAGTTATAGTCTAAATATATAATATTAATCAGTTCTGGTTGTCCTGCTGATCTCCAGCTGGCTGTGGTGATGTTCTGCTGCGGTTATGGAGGGATTTCCTGCAGTGTTTCTCCTCCCGAACACTGCTTCTCTGGTCAGCCTGGTGGGCTTTGGCCACTTGTGGCTACAACCAGACGGTCAACTACGTCCAGTCACTCTGGGAGCATGTAGAGCCTTCTAGTAACTTCACAGTCTACAATGGAGGAGCGGAGGCACTCTCAAACCTGTTCGGTGAGAAAAAAGAAAAGACCTTAGACATGCAAAGATGTTGCCCGTTGCATAAACGTAGCCAGTATATTATACAAATTTTTTTTCTTGGTCTGTTCAGCTAACAGTCAGGCCAAGAAATAATAATGACTACTTTTTGGATACAATTTGAACTTGTATGAAAATTATAATGAGTGTTTTTATTAGATAGAGTGTAGATATCTGATACAAAATTTTAACCGAACACATTTCTGTTGATCCTACCAAGACAAGACAAAAATAAAATAACACAAAACCAAGTAGTATTTTGTTAGTTTCAAAAATTTAAAGTCAAGCAAATATTCTTTTCAATTCGTGATTTTTTTGCAACCATAAAAAAATAAATAAATCTCTCAATGTGGAAGGGTATGGTGTCAATATAGGGCCACATATACTTGCAAAATAAAGAAAGTTTTGCAAACAAAAAATAAAGTATTGAGCAAAAACTAAATAAAAATAAATGCTAATCTTCAAAAATGGCAAAGGGAAAAATTATTTTTGAGAAATTAAAATTAAATTTGTCAACATAAAAAAGAACTGCAAATAAAAATCAAGCAGTGCAAAAAAAAAAATATTTGCAGTTAAAAAAACCTTATATATATATATATATATATATATATATATATACTCCCCCTCTTGTTAAATCAGGGCAGCAAAGTAAAACGTGCAGAAACATGAAATGCAAAGTGAAAACAGCATCGCAAACTCACGGTTGACTGAAAAGCAAATCAAAATGAGCATTGCAATTGACTGGACGGGTTTTGTGAAGGCAATACTATAAAAAATGTTGTACAAACATATTTTAAAAAATTCCAAATATTTTTGTTTTTTGCACTGCTTGATTTCCCTTTGCAGTTCTTTATTTTGCGAGTATATATGGCCTTAGACGACTCCATAGTAGGGAGGTTAATTTTAACCTAAAAGCAATGTTGCCAGAGGTTTTCCTGCACATTTTTAAGTAAATGCAGTTGCAGAAAAAAATGATGCAGTTGCGAGTTGCGTCTTCATTGGTAACTTTCATAATGTGCTGTATCTGCCAAAATGTTGCTTTCTTGCTAATACAAAATAAATTCTGATTAGTCTCCTAATAGACATTGAACCTGGAATACATATCTGGCAACCCAAAAACCAATTCTGATAATGGTCAAACTACTTGCTCTACAAACAAGTGTGTTCATGACTATACAGATAAAGCAGAATAATATAATAAGAAAATGTAAATTTGCAACATCAAAAAGCAGAACAAGCTGTTTTTAATGCCCAAAAATGAATGGAAGTGAATGAGACCGAAAGTCTCGAGCCAATAAGATTTAAACGGCTGCACCCGCAAGTACATGAAGAATAAGGTCAATACATCTGAGAGTGGTACTTGTGTAGTGTTGTTTGTTGTGTAGAAAGTCACTCAGTACTTTTAACACATATACTTTATCTACAGGTATGTGACTTGCAAAATATCAGGGAAGATATTGTAAACCTTTCCCTTAGTGGGAATCTAGCCATTGACTCTGATTGGATGATGAAATGAAACTGACTACTTCCATTTTCTTTTGGGCTGGTTTTGAATAGTTATTGGGCTGTAGAAATTTCTTGGACCTGGCAAGCCTCCCTACTTATGCCAAACATTCCCAAATGGTTATTTTTAGGTTGTAATTTCTTCAACCGTAATAACTATAACTTTCCCAGAATATTCAAAGAAACCCAAATTGCTGCGCCATATGCAAACCTGAAAGATTCATCCTTGTTCAGGCTATCTTTCTCTCTCCAAAAGTTTAACCATGATATTTACTATTAAACGGTGGTCTTACAAATGGTAATAAATACATAAAAAATACATTAACTGCACTTTCACTGTAATAAAACCTTGGTTCATTTAAATCATGCTGCATTTGTGCTAAATAAACATGCACATATGCTTATAATAAAAACTATAATTTGGGCTTAACACTGTATTTGTCATTGCACCCCAGGGGCCGCAGCGGCGTATGGTATCGGGTTATCCTCCGCAGACTGGTCCCGCTGGGGTGAGATGGCACTCAGTGCTCTTTCTGCCCTGGAGGGCGGCGCTCTGTTCGCGATGGTCTTTAGTGGGAACATCTGGGTCTGTTACGGCGGCTACATCCTCTTTAAAAGCCTCTATATGCTGCTCATCACCATTGCCATGTAAGTGAAATGACTTACTATCTATGTTGAGGGTAACGCATTACAAGTAACGCGAGTTACGTAATAATATGACTTTTCTAAGTAAAGAGTAAAGTAACGCATTACTTTAAAAAATTAAGCAATAATATTTGAGTTAATAACGTTAATGTAAGCTATTTTTTAGTTTAAATAACCTTTTCCACCAAGAATTGTTTTTGGATTGAAACTCCTAATGTCGCTAGTGGACACACTCAATGCATTGTTTTTTCAACATGTCCCATAATTTCTAAAATATCAACCTCTACGAAATGGTTGATATGTCGGTTTATGGTAAAAGCAATACTATGAAAATTCTGAAAATATGAAGTGTAAGACCAATTTATTCAAAAACATAATCATAATAATAATCAATCATAATTTATCAATAATAACAAAAATAAAACATTTTTGAATACTAAACCATCTTTATTTTTTGAAGCATGCCACAAAATATTTCATATTCTCATTTAACATGCTTTCTTTATTTATTTATTTTATTTTTTACAATAAAAGGTAAATAAAGGTGCAGGTTATTGTTGGAATTTAGCTCTAAAATTCCAAACTCAGGAGGCGGAGGTCAATGTCAAAAGCATTAGTAATTTATTAAGTACAAAATTATAATTTGATTTACAGAATTCTGTTATCTTCAATGCAATGCAAGAGTTACATTCACAAGGCGAGCAACAATTTTCATTTCCTGACCTTTTATACGTAGCTGATAATAACAGGTGGGGTTCTTAGTGGAATTCTTCACTTGTCAATCATTCTCCAGTCCTCCATTGGCCGCACCCATACATACTTCCTCTTTTTCTATGTATTCTCTGAACAACCTTAAAAGCATAAGACTTCTAAACTGAAAATATTCTGTTTAAAAATACAATTGTTTAATAAAAAGAGAAAGAGACAAAAATAAAAATATGTTCCTTTTCCCCAACATTATACAGTGTGTTATTAATTGCAGAGCTCATCTATTAAAAAAAACCCTTAAAGTTCTGAAATAGATCAAGCTTCAGCCAAGTAAGAAAAAGTAACTCAAAAGTAACTTAAAAGTAATGTAACCTGTTACTTACCATAAAAAGTAGTGTTGTGTAAAATAGTGTAAAGAGTACTAATTTTGTTAATGTTATTGTTTTAATGTTAGCTTTCTAAATTACTTATCAATCTGTTATTTGTTAGCTAACATGGTTTTGTCTGGATTTACACCTGGGATTTCTTATAGCTTTAAAAAACATAAAAACACTTTGTAAAAACCCAAAAGCATGGGTCGTGGGGTGTGAAGGTACACTGAAGTCATGGTTCGGTATGTACCTCAGTTTTAGAGTCACTGTTTGATAAGGGTATATAGTACAACAGTAATAATAACAAATTCATTGTGCTTTCTTTATCTGTTTATTTTGAACAGGCAGAAGTGTTTTTTCACAACCAAGCTTCTTGTGATTCAAAAGTACGAAATAAACAGAATAATGAAAACTAAAACTTTATTAATAATTTGTGCATAAAATCAGGAGGCTTCTAAATGGAATAGGTAAGATTAAATAAGCATACAGTTGCAGTCAGAATTATTAGCCCCCCTTTAAATTTTTGTTTTTCTTTTTTAAAAATTTCCCAAATAATGTTGAACAGAGCAAGGAATTTTCACAGTATTTCCTATAATATTTTTTCTTCTGGAGAAAGTCTTTATTTGTTTAATTTTGGCTAAAATAAAAGCAGTTTTAATTTTTTTAAAGCTATTTATTTACAATAACTAGCCCAATTACCTTAACCTGCCTGACCTAATTAAGCCTTTAAATGTCACTTTAAGCAGTATAGAATTGTCTTAAAAATATCTAGTAAAATATTATTTACCGTCATCATGGCAAAGATAAAATTAATCCGTTAATAAAAATGGGTTATAAAAACTATTATGTTTAGAAACGTGTCGAAAAATCTTCTCTCCATGCATTCTGATTGCAACTGTATGGTCCTTTCTATTCCTTTTCGGACATGTATGAATTAAATTTGTTTTGTATTGGGTTGTATTATTTGTTTTGCTTATTGTATTTAATTATGTAATTTCTATTTTTTTTTACATGTTCGAAATAATATCTAAAGTCTTAACAGTTCGTGATGATTCGGTATGAATGCATATTACACCCATAACGTGTCCTTTTTTGTTGTTTGTTTGTTTTAGGTGAATTAGTAGCATAAGTGGCAGTGTTTAATAGCTCAAACAGTTGTTAACCAAATACATTAATGAATTACTTAATTGATTTTGAATATAAATGAACAAAGTAGTGGAAAAAAACAAACAAAGATTGGATGCAGTGAAGATCATGTTGCTGTGAAATGTCTTCAGTCAAATCATCTATTATTGCTTTATATTAGTCCTTATGGGTGTACTTTAGGTAAAATAAACTTATAAGAAATACACAAGTGTGTGCTTCTTTCATTTGTTTTGGTAAAAACATGCATGTACATTTAGTGTGTTAAAAAGAAAGTGTGAATTATGGGATATATTTGTTATTTTTCCGTGATTGTTTTGGATAAACCAAAGAAATAATTAGGAAAAGCTAAAATATTGACACGGATCATAAACAATACTTACAGTGGAGAAGAGTGTTATCCTCAGCTGGACTGAGCTGATCACATTATTAAACTAAAAACAAAAAGAAAACAACACATAAATGGAAGAAAACAAGTTACATTTTGAAATGTACAAACATTTTAAGAAATAATGAACTGACCTAGTGTGTTGACAGTCTGTAGATGATAGTTGAGCTCACTGAACAGTTACTATGCCAGAGTATATTGTTCTGAGGACATTGTCTCTGTGGAACCAAAACCATTATTCAAAATAAGCTACATCTTATTTTGTATTTTATGTAGGTTTGAATGACATGGTGTGAATGTGTAAGGAATAACTGACGACATGCCATTATATTGTTGGAAAAATTCTGCACAGCCGAGGTGGATATGAGACTGTAGTCAAAACCTGCCGAAAACTACTTTAGCTGCATGTGTGCTACTCTGAAAAATGCTGAAAAAGCACCGTAGCAATAAAAGATAGACTGATACCATGAATTATTTTTTGCTATTGTTTTAAACAATTCATAATTACTCAATGAACTCTCAGAAAAGGGTTCATTATCTTATCTGACCTGCTTTTTACCGCATGTAATGCTGACAATCAAATTGCAGGTCCATGTGTGCATGCTGAAATCTGACTATGACATTACAAATGTCACACAGTAGATAGAAAAATGTCAAGTAATGCTGGAATCAGCTGCGTTTATCAAATATAGTAATATAAAAAAATGATTAAGGTTGCACTAACTACAACAATCTCAATAACATTTAATAGCTCACATTGACTGCAGTAGCCAGAAATTCTTTATTTTTTATTACATGGCATCCAGATTAATTAACTTGTGATATTTCTAAAAATATGTACCTCCAAACCCATTAAAACTTAGATTTTTTACTAGTTTTTTAGTCAAACCATTAAAAAAGAAACATAAATAAATACATTTATGGAGATTGAACTTTGAAACCCAAATTATTAATTTGTGTACTTCTAAAGAGGAGGCATTTCTAAAAATCTGTACTTCCAAATACATCAAAACTTAGCATTTTTAGTTGTTGTTTTAGTCAAACCATTAAAAAAAATTAAACAAAATTAAATAATTAATACAAACAAATGTATGGCAGTTCAACTCAAAAAGACTTTGAAACCCAGATTATGAATTTGTGACATTTCTAAAAATGAAGAGTTTAGATGCAAAAAGTGCTGTCTGAAATTTCGATAGAATATTAACGTTATTTTTAACCTTCTTTATTTATGTTGAGTTATTTCACTTTGAAGACCATGAAAAGAACTTATTATTTGCCATAAAAGTGAAATCACTGAACCCACACACAAGAGCCTGATAAAAATGGTCAGTTTAGAAGAATTTTTTAGAGAGCATTAACATGTTTTTGCATCTGAACTCAAGTATGTACTTTCAAACTCATCAAAACGTTGCATTTTAGTAGTTTTTTTTAAAAAATCAAACCATAAAAACGAAACAAAATTTAATAAATTACAAAAAAAAAAATGTATGAAGACTGAACTTGATGAACTGAACTAAAATGTTATATTTAAATATAATTATTAAATTTAATAAAAATAATGTTTTCAATCCTAAAACATTATTAACATACAGAGATCTCACTTCCCATGAAACAACTTTAGTCACTGTCCTACTTTAGAATCGAGCACATCCAGAAATACTTTTAACTCATTTCAATAAAATATATAAAATATCCAATTAGGCCATGTTTTGTGTTTCCACAGGTTTCAGATAGCAGCTGGGCTGAACATGGAGCGATACGCGCTTGTGTTCGGAGCAAATACCTTCTGTGCTCTGGTGTTGCAGACAATCATCACCTCAGTGGTGGTGGACAGCAGAGGCCTCGGTGTGGATGTCGTCACTCAGGTGAGCTTACCTGACACACTTTACACAGCATTTACACAGTTACTGGCCACTTTATTCGGTACGGCTTACTAATACTGGGTTGGTACCACATATGCCTTCAGAATTGCACAGATTTAAAGGAATAGTTGACTCCAAAATGACAATTACCTTATAAATTTAAGCCTTTATGAGTATATTTCTTCTGTTGACCACAAAAGAAGTTATTCTGAAGAATGCTTGTTGCTGGAACCCATTGACCTCCATAGTAGGAAAAAATACTATGGTAGTTAATGGATGCCAGCTATTAGCATTTTTCAGAATATCTTTTTTTGAGATCAACAGAAGAAACTAAAGAAGTAATTTTCATTTTTGCGTGAACGATCCCTTTGACAAGGTGTTTGAAATGCTGCTCAGCGATTTCAATCCATATTGATATGATTTTCTGTAAACCTCAAAAAAGTTGTGTATGAAAATATGAGAAGTAGATCAGCAGTTTTTGAAATAATGAGACCAGCTCATCTGGAACCATAAACCATGCCAGATTCACAGTCACTTAAATCATCAGCTTTATTCTCCATTCAGATGATTGGTTTGAACTTTAGCAGAATTTTTTAAACCACGTCTATTGACCTTATTCTTCACGTAGTAGCTGGCGCAGCCATTGGAATCTTTTTGGCTTGAGACTTTTGGTTTCATTCACTTCCATTGATATTTAGCCAATAAAACAGTGTGCTATGCTGCTTCATGTTGCAAAGTGATATTTTAATATTATATTATTCCACTTTTCATGTATAGTCATGAATGCACTTGTTTGTAAAGCAAGTATTTTGACCGTTTTCTGCCATTTATTATTCCTTGTCATTTAAAATATTTAAAACAACCGCATGATCGTGCACACTTCCGTATCACAGAAAAAGGTCAATATGACTAAATGCACCAAGTTATTCCCATTTGATTGGCTGATCATGCCCATTTTCAAAAAAACATCTTAAGGCTAAAAGTAGCTCCTAACTCACAGATTTAGAAAGCAAATCTTCGAAACAATAGGCATGTCAGTCCTAAAGTCTCCTAAACTTTTGCTCTATGAGTATTTCAAGAAGCATTTGAGCAATAAACTAGCAACCAAAATGAGCTTTTAAAAAGTTGTCACCTTAATTGCGACTCTATTTACCTACAGTAAGAATAATTGAATTTAAAGATATATTTTAAAAAACAAAAATATGACAAAAGCTAATATCGTCTGTAAAAACACATTTGGTAATTTTACATATTTCTAAAAAAATTTTTAAAAAAGCATTTGCTCAACTATTTTCTAAGAGAAATGAATGAATAAATTAGCATGTAAAACTGTTTCTGGAGATTTCTTGATTTTTCTTAAGCCACAAACCTACTATAAAGATATCAGAGAACAACTAGCATACTGGTCAAAATTTGCATCTCTGTCTATAATAGCCTCCTAACCATCCCCATATGATAAATGGCTTCATCACTATGTTACTAATGAGCTAGTGTGTGCTTTACGGTTTAATACAATATGGTTGCCAGGTGGATGCTGCACACTAGTGGTGAATGAGGAGATTTCACCCAAAAATGTGTAAAAGTGCTATATATATGTAAAGATTTATTATTATTTTTATAACTATTATTATAAGCCAATCACTGTGTGCATAGTTAATAATCATGGAAACGTCATCCACAGCAACAAAGTCAACCCTGCACTTACACTTATCTTAAAACTTAGAATAAAATCTATAATCCTTATTGAAAGTTGATCTCAGCAACTTTGTGAATAGCTTTTAAGAGAAAACTAGTTTACAACTGTTTAAGAGAGCTCTTCTGAATACAGGCCCAGATATTTACATTAATGAGGAGTTGAACAGGACAGCTGAATAAAGTGGCCAATGCACCCTTTTCACAAGACGTGTTTAATGGTCATCAAACCTGAAAGCGTCTAACATTTTGATTTTCCTTTTTCTGAAAGTCTTGACAACACCATGGTGGAGTTTTTCTTTTATTATTTCAGCAAATAGGGTTGTAAAAAAATTATTTGTTGTATTCTCCCATTCATTGCACTCTAAGTTTATCCAACAATGACGACTTTCGCTACTTGGAAACCAAGAAATGTGAAAAGGGTCAATGAGTGTACAGCAGGTCAAAATGATCTTCAATGCTAACAAAAATTTACTAAATTCATATTTGATCCAGAACATTACCTCAAAAAGCTAAAAACCTGCTTGTTCTTGTCATTTGTCTTGCAGTTCATCATCAACGGGGCGTATTTTTCCGTCATTGCAGTCATTTTCTTCCTGCGGGGTCTGTATACCACAATGTGCCGGAAACCTGAGACTGACACATCGAGAGAAAACTTAGAAGAAGCTTTTAAAAAGGATGCACAGATTGTTACTGAAACAAAATTATGAAAGGCAGGAAACTGAAGTACATTTGATTAAAGAATGATCCGAAGGAAAGCATCCTTTTTTAGATAAAATTCTTTTTAATATATATAGTATATATATTTATTTATATATATATACACATTAACTTAGATTTCTGTAACATAAGTGGTCTTGAGTCAAAGTCTCATGAGTTGACATCCAAAAAGAGTCTTCAAAACTCCTCATAACGGAGAAAACATTTTTTTTTGCATCATTTTCAAAAACTCCAAAAGCACAAAAAGGCGACACTAAAAATGTCCAAAAAGATTCCACATTCTTGCGTAATGTTATTCACAGCATGGCGGACGTCGACGCCGTATATGCAGCATGTGTTTTCTGTGTTAGAGATACAAATACTGATATGCACAAAGACCTAAAATTGAGCAATTTCTATGAAAGAATTATATACAGAATTGCAGCATTAACATGATTCGGGAGGTTTGCAATAACTTATTAAATCCGCAGCATGGTGCAGATGCTTTCCAGCCCAGGCCAGTTCACAGGAATGACAAAAGGAGCTAAAAAGTTAAAAGAAGAAGAAGAAGAAAAAAAGAGCTCCTTTTCTCTGCAACATGTTTTGTTTTCTGTGTCTGTAATCAGAAATTGTGTATTTATTCCACTGGTGTCTTTTTCAGTCTTCTGTTTTTAAAATTCAATAAAAATCCGTTAGGAAAGTCTTGTTTTTTTAAAGCTACTTGGGAAACAAAACAGTGCAAGATGTGCGGTCGAGTTGCAGGTCGGCCACCGCAGGCTAAACGTGCGCTATAAGAAGGGGTTTGTGGTGGAACCTCCTGCAGGAAACTGTGCTGCTGGCGCCCCCGCCTGGAGGAGAACAAAAAGATGGAAGATATAAATGTGATGATGAGACAAGAAAACTCCTACAGATATAACATGCCATGGCAGATAACACTATGTGGAGATCTACAATTAGAAGGAATTACATTTGGAATTAATTTGTAAAATAAATGAATGAAATCCATTTTCACACTTTAAGAAAATTATATATGATTTTAGAAAATGTGAAAGTAACAAAATACTTAATTATAATTGTTTTAATGTGTTTTAAGGAATAAAATGACCAGAAATATTTTTAAACTTAAAAAAAGAGATCAAATTATTATTATTATTGTTATTATTATTATAAATTGCATTTAATAACTTACTTTATTTTATCAATTCAATTTTATTGCAAACCTCATGTTGTCAGAATTTTTGCAAAATAAATTACATATATTGAGGCCAAATCTGTATAATCTTATAACTGATAATTATTAATTTGAACTATTCATAGTTACTTCTGTAAATTTAATGCAATTTAAACTTAAATTCTTTGTTAAATATTTTATTATATGTATATATCATTTTTTCATAAAGTCTACAAGCTACAAAAATTAGAATTAGTATGAATTATATGTTCACATTTATCTTCAAAATATTATTTTGGTAAAATATGATAAGAAATCAGCATTTAAATAAAAAAACAAGAGAAAGCGTACACAGTGCTCAGCATATACGAGTACACCCCATTAAAAAAAATCTATATTTTTATCCATTTCTCAGTGAACATGGGTACTATATTTTGGTGCATTTAAACAAAACAGATTTATTAGACCGATATATTTATTAAAATGATATTTTAGTCACAGAACAGCTTTGTTGTGTGGAAAGATAATACATTTAAATTCATGCAAAATATTGCAAAAATAATTTTGGACTATTATTGTAGGTTGTTTTGTTAGATTAGGTCTAGGTTTGGGTTCAGTACTGACTAATGTATATGCACAAGTATAATATTGTAAAGCTTCCTCTAGAGAATAATATTTTAAATGAGAGATTTGTGGGGGCGTAACTCATATATGCTGAGCACTGAACATTTGAAAAATATAAAAATAGCAGTTAATAAATTATACATTTTATTCTAATATATTCATTAATAACAGATTTATCTTCATAATAAAATATAAACTTCACAACTAACATTGTGAAAAAATAAATAATGACTGGCAATATCATTTGTATTTGAATAATATATCAAATGTAGGCTTAAAATAATTATACCAAATTATTACTGTTTATAATTATCAATTAATTTGTTAAAACAAAAAATATATAAATAAAAAAGGAGTATCTAATAAACATATGAAATTCATTTACTAAATAAAATGTTGTAAACACACATTTCGAAAATATTTTTACACATAAGATATGTAACTTTTTTTTTTTAAATCAATGCAATCATGCAAAATGTGGAGATAACGCACCAGGAAGGGATTATTGGTTACTGCTTGTCCCACCATGTTCTGTCCAAATGGAGTGACTTTACCCTGACCAAAAGCAGCAAAACCTCCTAAACAACAAAGAGAGAGGAACATTTAAATAGAAAATAATGGTATCAATAAGAATTAGTTGGCATGTAGATGCAATGTAGCTTAAATTCAACAAACGGACCATCAAAATAAAGTGTGACCAAACCGTTTTACCAAATACACTGCTCTGATCATGTAATGACTGGTAAACCATCAATATATTGATGTTAAAGGAGCTGATCAAGTGTACCGTTGGGTTGTTGAGGATAAGCATGCGGCTGGTTGAACGGCTGTCCAGGAAAGGCCTGCTGGAAGTTTCCGCTGTAGCTGGTGGGAAGGTTGTAGGCGGCAGTGTTTCCAAAGCCAGTGGGCATACTCATTGACGGAGGACCGAAAGAGGCTGGAGGAAACAAAGAGCTGAGCATTAAACATCTCTCAACCTGACATACAGCTAACATTTTTTCACAGTATTTCCTATAATATTTTTTCTTCTGGAGAAAGTCTTATTTGTTTTATTTCGGCTAGAATAAAAGCAGTTTTTAATTTTTTAAACACCATTTTATGGTCAATATTATTAGCCCCTTAAGCAATATTTTTTTTCTGATTGTCTACAGAATAAACCATCGTCATACAATGATTTGCCTAATTAACTAAATTAACATAGTTAAGCCTTTAAATTTCACTTTGAGCTGTATTAAAGTGTTTTGAAAAATATCTAGTCAAATATTATTTACTGTCATCATGGTAAAGATAAAATAAATCAGTTGTTAGAAATTAGTTATTAAAACTATTATGTTTAGAAATGTGTTATACAAATCTTCTCTCCCTAAATAGAAATTAGGGAAAGAAATATACAAGGGGGCTATATATGCACATATATATATATAGTAGAATACAATAGTAGAATATATATATACATATATATATATATATAACATATATTTTGCAGTTTGTAATGTAGCTGTCCTTTAATATAAACAGTTTGCTAATTTAATCAAAATATGTGCAAAATAAATAAAGACAAATAAAGTTTTATAAAAAATAGTCAGCTCTGAGTCAGCTTAATGCATATTTTTATAGTCTTTTACCTGCTACTGGTCTACATCAACACAATCAAAGTAAGACTTTGGCATAATGAGAAGTGGGTGACAGAAAATAGACACAGTGGAACCAATCAAGACAGACTTGACCAATTAGAGAAGAGTTGGCTCATGGAAGGGAGGAGTTTACAGAAGTTAAGTCCCAATTGGATTCAAAGGTACTGTATTGAAGTCCTTGAACAATGACTTACATTAAAAGCATATTCTAAGAAAATACAGGACTCCAACCACATGACAGGACACTTAATATATATAATTTAATAAGCTCTTTAATGGATTATTCACCTGCAAATGATGATTGTTCCAATGCTGTGCTTATTCTGCTCATTCATAAAAAAATTATTAAAAATTCTCATGGAGATTTTCCATTTATTCAATATATAACAGGCTATGGTGAAAAACACCCGTATTTGACTGAATGGCTAAATTGTTCATTTTTGGGTGGACTATTGCTTAAATATTTGACTTTTATTTTCAGGAATCAAACGTTAAACTCTAAAATTCAGTTTTTTGGACCAGCAAAGAAAGTTACTATTTTAAATTAAAATGTAGAAAAACTCAAATGACATGACCTGTAGAATCAAACACAATAGTGCTAGTAAAAAGGAACATGCTGACTTTAAATGACTATTTTTATCCTGAGTGCAGAAATCAGAGGAACTAAATCTGTAGAGCAGATGATGAAATGTCAAAATGTTTTTAGCAGAAAGAGAAGACAATACAAAAAGAGAAATAACAATAATAACCAACATTTTCTAGCACTGTTGATGTTGTTATCAATAATGAGTCTAGTCATCATTTATGTATAAAATAAACAAAAAAAAAAATTATAATTAGACCACTTGATAATTCTTATTTTTTCTGGATCCAGAATTTATGATTTGTTTGAGTATATTCTGGTTACTTGTTTTTTTATGCAAAAAAATCAGCTTTAAAATAATAGTAAATGGGAAAACTAATGTAAGTTCTAATGCCATAACATCAATTTAATCAATTTGTGTAAAAAAATATTAAACACAAAAAATTATAATAATAGCGAACCCAAACCTTTAAACGAAAGCCTTATTATATGACAATACATCAAAACAAAATGGCATTTTGTGAAGTCAAATTAGCATTTTGTCATTTGCTTGCAGAGGCCACGACCACTGTACACATGCATTTGCCACTAACACAAACATGAAATATCATATCACAAAGGATAAAAAACACAACACTTTATCTGGGGTTCAATCACCTCAGATGAAGACAACACAAGCAGACCCTTGTTTAAGTGCACTGTTCATCCAAAACTGTTACTCTCCCTTCATTTAATCCAAATGTGTAAGAGTTTCTTTCCTCTGCTCAACACAAAGGAAGATATTTTGAAGAATGTTGGAAACCTGTAACCTTTGACTTCATTAGTATTTTATTCCTACTATAGACATTAAAGACTTCCATTTTTCTAACATTCCTCAAATTATCTTAGCATTCGAGGGTGAGTAAAATAAATGATATTTTTGGGTGAACTATCTCTTTAAAAAGGTCAAAAATGTTGGATGAGCACAGAACTGTGGTCAGTGTAGTTTCTGTTAAGCTTCTAGCCGATAATCAAACCCAAGAGAGGGAGAAAATGAGAGAAAAACAGAGATGGACATACCAAAGTGGGCCGCGGGGTAAGAATGACCCGGCAGGGGTCCTAACATGTCTGAACAGCATGTCAAGAACACAACCAAACAAAAACAATCAGTCGCAGTGCACTCCGGTTTAGGCGCACTCTCACTTTTGCCCTACATATAAAATTAATGAGATCTGAACAAGAAAAAAAATCTGCTTCTTATTCACAATTAACAGAAGACGCCTTTCCTTCCTGCCTTTTTTCCTTCTCTGTTTGGAGTGCGAACACACACAAACATTCATCCGCCGCAGGGACGTGGAGACCCACAAATCTCTGCAGCGCCTTTGTATCTCGCATGTGAGAGCGATCTCAAGCTGTTAGCTCCTAGCATGGATACTGGGGCTATCTGACCCACTTAAAACTCTTCACAAAGCCCTCTGGTGTGTTAAATAAATAATGAGACGCAAAACAAGAGCTGGTTCTCGAGGACGATGGCTGCTGTGAACTGAAGATTTTTTGTGTTGAAACGGTGGGTTTGATCATTAGACTCGTTTAAATGGTGAGATTTGACAAAACAAAATAAAAGTAAGCTCTGCCCATACCTGCTGCAGCCACACCCATTCCAGGTACTGCTGCTCTCCCATTGGCCTGGAACGGGTTAGTGGGAGGGGCCTGTGGAGCCCCTGGAGCGACGAATGGATTCGTTGAAGGACCTTAAAAAAACACACACACATTTGAGATTTCTATGTTTGCGCGTGTGTACGTTTATGTATATTTATTTGTTATACATACTAAAATGTTGGGTCTTTTCAATGCAAATTGGGTAAAATATGGACTAACCCAAACATTGGGGACTAAAGCCCAATCCCAATTCTACCACTTAGGCCTTCCCCTTACCCAATTCCCTTCAGCTTGAAGGCGTAGGGCTAAGGGGAAGGGTTAGATACCCCTTTTTCCACACTCGAAACCAAGGGGTAAGAATATTTCCCAGAATACACCAGCTACTGCATGGTTGCAACCGGAAGTAAAGAGATGCACAAATATTTTTTGTCATTATTACGAATTTTTACAACAGACAAGCACATGTTTTAATATATTAATAATCGCGCTACAAAACTTAATAAAAAAAACGCTAAATTTCGCTATCTATAATCCCTAAGAAAAAGCTCCTGTATAGCAGTCCCACAACAATCTGCCACTCGAATACTCAGAAAAATTTAGTGGCTGGGAATGACATTTTTACAGTGTCTGCTATAATGTTAATGTTGTTTTCGTGTGTTTACATAAATGAATATGGCCACTGTGTAAAAGCACAGTACAGTTACAATCTTATTGCTGCATTATATCCTTATGATAACATGATATCGTTGCCTGGAATAACTCTATCATATGAAGCAAGAGATTGCAATGACATATGGTGACGTGTGCAGGTGTTGTAGTGCTATTCCATTTCTTAAGGGTAAATGTTGAAGCCCTTCCTCTTCACACTCTGTTTCAAGGGCCAAGGGTAAGGGGAACAAAAATAGAATTAGGATTGGGCCCAAACCAACTGCTGGGTTATTATTATTTTTTTATTAAAATGAAAAGACCAAATTTAACACTCATTTAACACTCATTGGCAATTGCACACTCATTGGCAATCTATTACACAAAGAATTGGGTTAAAATAACCAAGCCTTTTTTTAATGTTGTACTATAAATAAAATAGTAGAATAATTTGCATCACAATTCCTCTTGAACCATTTTATAAATATTGAACATTTATTTCTTAGTTGTCTTACTTAAGGAGGCTAATAATATAAACCTTACAATATATTTTTTAAATTAAAGCTGCTTTTTTTTCTAGCCGACTTTTTCCAGCAGAAAAAAAAGGAAATTCTGTGAAAAATGTCCTTGCCCTGTTAAACATCATTTGAAAAATATCACAAAATTAAATTTGTATGCAGTTTCTTTTCTTGGCGATGGTATGTATATAAATGCATTTGTGTGTCTGTTATAGTGTTATTCTTGTTAAAAGCAACTAAATGTATATCTACAAAAAAAAAAAAAAAAAGACAGAGGTTTACCTGCAAAACCCTGAGGGATGTTGGGTAAACCCTGTTGTGCTTGAGCAGTAGGAACAGCTGAAGAGGTTCCATAAACAGCCCTGAAACCAACAAGAGTTTAACGTGACATAGTAAAAGGTGTTGAGAGAAAAACAGAAAATCTTGACTTTACATTCTCACCCTTGTGCTGTAGTGGCCGCTTGGTAGCCGCTCACATTTGGCACTGAGGGCCCGAAGACATTGTCCAGTTCAGCGAAAGCAGCGTAGCGATCACCACCCAACAGAGCGGCCTGTGGAGGTGGAGGACCCACACCTGCTGACGGAGGAGCTGAACTTGGACCTGTGGACAGACAGACAGAACAGGACTTATTTTCAGCTATTATTTGTGAAAAAATGAATAAATACAAAAAAATAAAAAATAAATAAAAATCACTATGCATTTTTAAAGTGAGCTAAACATGGGTAAGTGGGCTTGACAAAACCACCTGTGGAAACACTCTTCACGCCCTTCTCAAATAAACAAAACAAAAAAAAACAAAACACTACCATTTAATTCTCTGAGCACTAACAGTTCCTTTGTATGATTGGCACTTCTTGTGTGTATTGGCTCTGTGTTGAATCGCTGAATGCCTCCTCAATTGTAAGACTCTTTGGACAAAAGCATCTGCTAAATGACTAAATGTAAATGTAAATGAATACGCACCTCAGCACTTTGACATTTATGTTAGCAAATTATTGGACAGCACTTTAAAATAACATAATGATGTGAATTATTTATTACCATTAATTTTTCTTCGGCTTAGGGTCTTATTTGTCAGTGGTCACCACAGCGGAATGAACCGCCAACTATTCCGGCATACGTTTTATTCAGAGGATGCCCTTCCACTCACAGCCAAGAACTGAAAAACACCCATACACTCACACACTCATACCCTACAGCCTTTTTAATTCATCCAATTCAATTATAGCGCATGTCTGTGGGAGAAACCGGAGCACACGGAAAAAACCCATGCCAAACACAGGGCGAACATACAAATTCCATTCAGAAATACCAACTGACCCAGCCAGAACTCGAACCAGCAACCTTCTTGCTGTGAGGCAACAGTGCTAACCATTGAACTATCGTGCCACCACCATTATTTATTATGTATGGGTCAAATATAAGTTTTTAAGCATCAGAAATTAAGTAACATAGATTCACATTAGCCTTTTTTACATTAGAATTAGTCAAAACACTAGGTAAACCTATTTGTCAGTAAGAAGTTTTTAATCATTTGAGATACAGCTTTATTCTTTCTATTAATATAAGTTGCAAGGGGCGACAGTGGCTCAGTGGTTAGCACTGTCGTCACACAGCAAGAAGGTCGTTGGGTCAGTTGGCATTTCTGTGTGGAGTTTGCATGTTCTCCCTTATGTTCACGTGAGTTTCCTCCGGGTGCTCCGGTTTCCCCCACAGTCCAAAAGTATGCGGTATAGTGTATGTGTCTGAATGAGAGTGTATGTGTTTCCCAGTGCTAAGTTGCAGTTGGAAGGGCATCTGCTGTGTAAAACATATGCTGGATAAGTTGGCGGTTCATTCCACGGTGGCGACCACTGATAAATAAATGGACTAAGCCGAAAGAAAATGAATGAATATAAGTTACAATTCATTTTGAATGAATATATATATATATATATATATATATATATATATATATATATATATTAGGCTTGGGCGATATTACGGTATTATGGTATACCGCGGGATCTAAAAATAGCAACGGTGTCAGTTTCAATACCGTTATACCGTCATAAAGTATTAAATATCCTTTATTTAATGCCTAAAAAACGTGTGTGTGGTTGTCATCACGGGACAGTGTGGAGGAGAGAGATAGAGGAAGAGGGAGGGGGAGAGGGTGAGAGGGAGAGGGAGAGAGGGACAGGGAGACGTGACGTGACGAGTCGCGCTTCAAAGTGTCCTGCAGTTTGGCAGTTTAGACTGAACAGAAGGGAGACGTGGTTAATATGAACGAGAGGTCTGCATTAGAGCTGAAGATCTTTGCCCGAACCCGGCGAGACCCGAAAAAATCCAAATCCCTGCATTAAAATCCATCCCTGCAAAGGTGAAGCAAATTATGACGAAGTAGTAAAAAAAGAGAATTTTGACGGCGGTCAAGCCAGTCAGAAAGAGCGCATTCCAGCCGCAGGTATTTAGCGGTCGCTCATACACTGCGTATTACGGTAGAGCCCTAAACCGCAAGCTGACAGGTAAAATGACGAGGCCACTCGCTACCCTTAAACTACGGTCATGGAAAATTAAATGGATGTTCCTGACTGGTATAAGATGAATAAACAATCCTACCTAAAACTTGCAAAATCAGCCAGATCAGAACTCTGCATCTCGGCCTGTAGCAGTAGCAGTGAAACGGTGTTCAGTGCTGCTGGACGCACATGAGCGCAAGACTGCGCTAAAGCCAGTGGATTTAATAATGTTCCTCCACAAACACACGTAGTCTAATCTTGGTGAGTAAAGGGTTTTAAATTATAAATAAATATTAATTAAACCATATAATCATAATGTAGACAGAGTATACAGACTAATGGTGGCATTATTCTTTTATCATTCAGCTTCAATTTAGTTACTGCCAAAATACCCGTCATCATTTAGAGTTTATTTGATTTGTTAAGCAAGATTTCTTTTCATTGGTGTGTTGGCCAATTTAAAGGCTAAGTGCATGTAGACCTACAGAGTGCTGAGATGTTACGATGTTTCAGAGGACTTATTTTATTTCTTTGTTCCAACTTTCAAGTGGGATATAGTCTACGTTTGTTACGAATAAATGCTGTTAAAACATATAAATTACTCATTCTTGAAAAAATGCATTAGAGCTGTAAGGGCTCGGACTTTATAAAGCTGTCAATCAAAATGTACGTGTCGGACTCGGGACCTATCGGGTATAATTTTTATGGCCCGATTACAGCTCTCTGCATTCCCGCGGGAGCCGGCCAGATTTCTTACGGTGTGGGAGTAAATTTCTGAATAAATCGCGGGAGAGATGTGTGTGTGTTTGTGTAAGACAGAGAAAGTCTCTCTCTCTCTCTCTCTCTCTCTCTCTCTCTCTCTCTGCCTAAGGTCGCATAGAATGTATTCAGTTTCTGAATGGTTTAGGCTCAAGCCAACAGTTTGGTGACGCTGTCTGAGCCTTACGTCATAATTTTTTTTATTACGCCGGTAATACCGGATACCGGGGTAAAATATGGAGGCGGTTTGGCGGTCTCAAAATTTGGACACCGCCCAAGCCTAATATATATATATATATATATGTCCAGAATATCCAGATATATATATATCCCTCCAGAAACTTAGTTTGACAACTCTGTTTTAGATTAAACAAATTCAGTAATTCAACAGTTCTTTAAGCATAAGAAACTTCTTTAAAAAACATAAAAATAGTAACTATTTTAAACTTTAGACTTGTATTATTTCTCTAGTTAACAAACAACAACAAAAAAAAGAACAAAAACCCCTAGTATAATTCACTAACTAATGCAGAATCATGCATTCTCTGATTACAAGCACCACAAATATGTTTTGCATTCTTGTGCTTTGTTGCTGCACACAACATTTCACTGAAAAATGATTCAACCTTCAACCACCATTCATATCACCCATAGACAGGATGAGCTGCAAATGTACCTTGCTCAGGTTTGGAACTGAAAATGTTGTCGAGGTCTGCGAGAGCCGCGTATCGGTCTGCAGGGACACTCACTGCATCCGCTTTATGCACATCTCCCACTGAGTTACTCTGGCTGGAGCTGAATGAGGGGAAATCAGCACTGCACGATTTGTGGAAGTTATCGAAATTCGCAAAGTTTGCATTAGATAGTCCTGATGAACTACCTGTGGAAAAGAGAAAAAGCATACTAAATATATGAAAACAAAGGAGAAAATAATATAAAATAACATTACTTTAATTTTTGTTGTCATGTTTGTTGAAATACCTTGATTATTTTCATTCTTTGTTCTTAATAATCTCTTTAATTATATGTTTTTAAAAACAGCAGTTTTGGTGCAAAATTATATATATATATATATATATATATATATATATATATATATATATATATATATATATATATATAGACCTTTTTCATAGCTGCTGCATGGAGGGCGCCATAGCAACCAGTGTCTTCCGGTAGAATGCTAAAAACTTCCGTTTACAGCGTTTACAACTGGTAATTTGTGCTCCGAAAATGGGTTTCAATAACGTTTTTAATAGATAACAGAGTGTTTTTGTGACACACAACTTAGTAATGTGCCTGTTAAAGCCGTTATAATCTGTCGATGTGGTTCAAGCGCGTGAGAAATACGAGAAAAACTTTCTCCTAGTTCACGTGTCTGCCGTCAGAAATAGTGTGTTTGTGCTGACAGCGTGTCAGCTGTTAGCTCAGCGGCTCTTTAACACACACACACACACACACACACACACACACACACACACACACACACACACACACACACACACACACACACACACACACACACACACACACACACACACACACACACACACACACACACAGAGAGAGAGAGAGAGAGAGAGAGAGAGAGAGAGAGAGAGAGAGAGAGAGAGAGAGAGAGAGAGAGAGAGAGAGAGAGAGCAAACCAGAGTACTGGTATGAAACTTAACAGGTATGAAAGTCGTGCAATTTACAAAAATGACCAATAAAAGTCTGTTATTGATACTCTGCTGGCTGATTTGCTGTTCATTCTAATCGCGAGCCGTTTGTGTTTTATTTCGTGTGTTGTTTTTACCACGGTTCAGTGTATCAGTGGCACAGTACAGGCTACGTATGTGTGTCAAACATTTTGGTGAATTACATTTGTTTGGGCTGGTTATATATTTGAAATAAAGAGAAAATGTTGACTTTAGCGATGACAAGGCTTCATTTAAACGGCAGAAGATGCTGTCTGACAACGAGGAGAAAACGCCTCACAGCAGTTGTTTTCCATCCTATTAGATCGCATTTCTTTAAATGATCAGTCCAGGAGATGGTGCTGATGGACAACAGTATTAGTTCAAAGAGGATAAAAGCAGGTAAAATAGATTAAAACTATCGTTTCAAAGCTGTCCAAATGTGACTGTTTACACGCATTAGCTGCCGACCGGAAGTTCTTCGCATTCTCCTTGCGCATACACGCAAAGCATAATGGGTAATTTTGCGTTCCAAGAAAAAGGTCTATACTTTCCTTTACAAAAAAAGTACATACTTTTAGAGCACAGTATAAGTATGCGAATTGAGATGCAGCAGTAATTTGATGACGCAGTGACTGAGTGTGGAATCATGGGAGTTGTTGTCTTTATTACATCCTTCGGGACTGCAGAAATCCTGTTCATGGATGAGCTAGAGCAGTGTTTCTCAACTGGTGGGTCGCGACCCAAAAGTGGGTCGTCGGAACATTTTCAGTGGGTCAAAAAAAAGTGTGTGGTCAAAAAACAACAACAAATGTTTAATTTAACACTGGACTTTTATTTTGAAATGCATCCATGACAGCCCTGCTGTTTGACAAGTAAAATTTCATTTAATTATAGCAACAAATATGTCGAGGTGCAAGTGCGACCCAGAATATGTCAAGTATGGATTTACATATTTTGACGACAAAAAAAGACTTAAAGCTTCAGTGTGTCATATGTAGTGAGGTGCTCTCACAAGAGAGCATGAAACCTTCTAAATTAAAACAAGATTTACAAACCAGACAGTATGTTTTATTAACAGTTCGGTTTAGTTCATGGTAACTGAACCTTTCCTTACCCTAACCAGTTTACAGTATTTGTCGTTTTTACTTTGTAATATTTCTATAATTTGAAACATTTTGTTAAATGACAGCAAAAAAATATTGTTCATTTGTAAGTCTTGGTGATTTTCTTACGTTTTATCTGTAACTACTTGTGTATGTTAACAAATAAATACAAATTAATTATACTTGCTAAAATTGTATTATAGTTCCTAAAAATTTGGGTCGCGGCCTGGTGACCATGTAAAAATGTGGGTCCTATGGCTAAACCAGTTGAGAACCCCTGAGCATAGAGTATTCAAGGATTATTTTCATGGTAGTATGGTTGAAAGCTGCTGAAGTGAAAGGATTGCTGAAGCAATTGCCAATGAGAGATGAGTGCAATGCAGCACTAAAGCAGCTGAGCTTTTATTATTCCACAGACCACTGTTTTTGTTATCATGTGGATAAGCAGCAGCACGTCTTTTTTTTATCAGACTAAATAAGGTTAGGTTATAACACTGCTCTGTGCTAAACATATTAGTGTCATTGATGCTTCTCTGTTTTCTATAATCGAAATCGAGAGTGTGACATCATTAGCATGGCCACAAAAGACACGGTCTGAGTCGCTCGTTAAAATAGCTTATTTCATTAGCTTTTAACATTTAGAATGTACAGTATAAATACACAAGTCAGCAAAATATATAGCACTGTTTTTTGATTTTAATACAAATATCTTACATACTGTGCCGTTATTATATAATTTTTTTTATATAGGACAGGAATTACATGTTATGTTCACAGTACAACTGAACATGATCCAAAATGGTCAATTTATTCACATTTTCCTGATTCGCTTTATTCCCAAGCAACATCAGAAATGTACAGCTTAGTGGGAACACTGACTAAGCTTGTCCTTCAAATCAGAGAGGATCCCAGGAGAATTCCTGAGGAGCTATTTAAGGGAAATCAGATGTTACAATACATCATGGATGTGTTACAAGAAAAAAAAAAAAAAAAAACACCAGCAAATAAATAGTAGGGGTAGCGTGTGCACAGAAGACACATACACATGCACAAAAGCTGAGACTTACTGTGCATGGCCAGTGGAGGCAGCAATGAGGTAAACTCACCCACACTGCGACTAAATGGGAGACTGTTGTACACTGACGCACACACAGGAAATGAGGGAATGACAGCGCAGGAAAGTTAAGAAACGCAGGGAAAAAGAAAGGTAAAAGAAATTAAATTAGACATTCACTATGTTTGTTATCAATTTGTTATCTTTTGCTCACCAAGGTTGCACTGATTTCATTAGAAAAAACTACTACTGAGACATATGAAGGCATTTCATTTAAGAGTTAGGACATTCTACCAAAAACGTACATTATCTGTCCTTGAAATAAAAACAAATACAGTGAATAAAAAGTATTTTATCTTAAAAGATTTGTAAAATGGACCGATGGGTAACTTCTGTGAGTTATTCTATAAAGGAATATGTCTTTCATTTGGTTTTTAGATTTTTTTTCTTTATTAAAAACACTTTACAAATGTACAAATTCCTCAGCTCCTTGTCCTCAGCCCAAATTAACCAACAGCTTTAATAGTTTTTGCTAAGCTAAAAGTTATTTAGTTAAAACTGAAAGTTATTTAGTAAAAACAAACTTCAGAAATAGCAAGTTTAAGTTGTTATCACTCACATCAGTTGATTAAAAACATGAAATTATGAATAAATTCTGCAAATAATCACTATTTTACAATTGTCCCAATGTTTCTGTCAGTCCTGCCACACTTGCATTAAATTTAACATAAAACGCTTGCAATACACCCTTAAGGCTATGACTCAGAGGAAGTGACATCATTGGATGGAGAAGAAGCTGATAGTAGCTGAATCCCAAATGGCACACTATACACTATGTACTTACGCACTTACTCAACAGCATAGTACCTGTACATGTAGTGTAGTCTCAAATGGAACACTAATGTTTTTTTTACTGAGAGGAAATTCCCTGAAGTTTCCCTGATGCCGTTTGACGCTTGCCATATTAGTAAAATAATTGACCAGACTACCAAAATACCTGCTATAAGTGTAACCGCACTTACCATAGGGAGGCGCTATAATCACTCTCATAGGAGAATTTAGCTTTCACAATCCAAAATAAATAAAGTAATCCAACATGAGCGTTCGATAGCTCCGCCCCTCCTGCTACGAGAGCAAAACTGCGACTGGTTAGTGTTTGAAGTGTCCATCATTACACACTTCACTTTACCGGTTGAATAAGTGCATCATACAGATATTTAAAGTGCACTTATTATTTTAGAGTTTTCACTGTAAACGCACTATTTACACGATCTATACAACAAAATGGCGTAGAAAAGGGCATAAATATGCGATTTGGGATGCACTTAGTGATCATGGATGCGTTCTACTAATGTATTGTCTGATTTCATGCTGGGTTTTGTCTAATGTTTTTGAGTAGAAAAAGCTTAAAGATCATGCCCCATCACAATTTTTGTAAGTAAAAATGTACGTTTCTGGTAGAAGTTTCCAGTTATATCATGTACAAAAAGAAACTCAAGTGTCTTTACAGTGGAAGAAAAATGTCAAGTACTTTTAAGTACTTTCAAGAAGCGTGGGGACCCTGTAAAAATGAAGAAATAAATGACACAATCAAAAAAAGAAATAAAAAAAAAGAAAGGAAAAGCCAAGCTATCAGTGAAGAAATGAAATGACTGAATAATAAAATCAAACAGATGTGTTAGCAAGACTTGTTTTTTTTAAAAGAAGGATTAAAACGTAAAATTACAACACACTGATAAAAAGATGAAATAGTTTAGAGGCAAGAATGTAAACAATCAGCACTGAAAATACACACAAAAAGAACGACAGACTTCGAAGAAATACAACTTCAACCAAGAGCCATTTCTCGATGAGAGGTTCAAGGTAAATGTGTGGTCATTTGTTTAGCTGTGTGTGTGTGTGTGTGTGTGTGTGTGTGTGTGTGTGTGTGTGGTCTACCTGGTTGTGGGGGCTGAAATGGAGCCTGTGGAGCTGATGGAAATGCTGCTGTGGTTGGAGCAGCAGAACTTTTGAACGTATCAAAATTCGCAAAGTCTGCGCTAGCATTCACGCTCTGCGCTGTTGGGTACCACCAAAAACAAACAGACAAAACAAACAAAACACAACAGAAAATGAAATGAGGGATGAAAACTACAGGATGAACATCCAGCGTTTAAGTTTTTTCGTCAGAAATGTCCTGATAATCTCACATTTCAGTTTAAAAAATAAATGATTTTTATTTAGCTAATCGTCTAAAAAAAGAACCATAACTTACACGCTGGTTGTGTGTAAAGACATGATGATAAAAAGTGATTACAATGCTGAACTAAACTAATATTCAAAAACACAACACACATAATCTAAATGAAGACAAAACAGAGGGGGGGTGCACCTCTAACCAGAATGCACCTGCATCAACTCCAGCAGTAAAGAACAGAGAAGGCAGGCTTGGTAATAATAGTCTCACACAGCTAGAAATTTAAGTTAAAGCAGAAGGTCTGGACTTATTTATATCTGGACTTTTTATTTTAACCATTTATATCTCATTTTTACTTTAAGTTTAAAGTCGCAAAAATGTCAAGTCATTGTCTCTACATTAACAGGCTAGTGTGCGTGCGTGCCTCAGGCAAAACTCTTGAGTGTATTATGTACAAACGTCACAAACTTTTCAGAAGTCCACATTGTCACAGCTGTAAACTAGGCATGGGACGATAACCGTTTTCAAGGTATACCGTTCCTAAAGTATGTGTAATATTTTTTATTTTGTTTTTTAAACAACAGTTTCTCCAGCAGGAAAAAAAATACATCCAAAGATGTCGATTTAAATTGTAAAGAAATCAGTGTTTTTGAAACAAATGAAGACAGCAGTGATGTCTTTGATTCATTTGAATTATTTAGCCTGACATGTTTACTACTCCAAAATATTTTAAATGTTTTTCAAAATAAAATATATTGTGTTCAAATGGGAATTCTTTTTTTTTTAACCCAGACATTTAAAAAGAACTTATTTTAGAGCAGTGAGCACAATACCGTAATATCGTGAAGCCATGATTTTTTTATCTAAGGTCATCATACCATCAGAATCTTATACCGGCCCATGCCTACTGTGGACCCAAAAGCTTTCTTCTTTTTTTCTCCAAGTGGAAGAATTTTTCACCAATTCTGTGGTCCGGATTGTTTGGGGCGGGCCTGAGAGCATGGCCCCCGCCTCCAATACTATAATACTACACTGTAAACAATATCTGTTAATTAACAGTTTCTGTTTGCTTATGGTTGTGAATTGCATCATGGGATGTTGATTTCTGCTCTGTCGACTTTTGATGATGAAAGCTCAACTCTACAGTTTAACAAAGACACTTTTATTGACATTTTAGTCATTTGAAATAATATAATGTATAAGAAATAATATATAGAGAAAAAAGTCTTTAAAAAAAGAGAAAATATACAGTCAGTTAATTACAAGGTTTTTGTAGCTTAATAGTCAACACCAACCCAGACAATATATATTACTTTAAACTAATAAAAATGTTAATAAAAGTTACTTTTTCCAACTTCTCAAGGTTAAACGATTTTGAAAGAAAGATCAAGGTCCAACAATGCAATTCAAAAGCATAAATAAATAAGGGAAAAACTAAATTCATGAATCACAAACTGTGGAAAATTGCTAATTTACAGATTTTCTTTTTTATGTGCTATGCTCACCTCGAAGCTTAATTTATTTTAGCTACTTGGCAGGTTTTTTTAGCCATTCAAATTTGGCTGTGGGTCAATAACACATTTTTTCTGGTGCTTGACAAACTCAGAACACATATTTTAATGTCACTTTACAAAGACTTTAATGAACGTGACACACACACTCCTCACAGAAACCCTGTACAGCTTGACAAATCAGATGACTTTAGACTGAAATGTTTCCCATGCTGTGTGGTATTAAGGTCATAAAAGCTTTTAATTGTGTCTGTTTACCGCTTTTCTTGCATTATCGATCAAATGTAAGACCCTTATTATAAAGGAGCACCATTAAGTATTAGTTTAAATGCTACATTTTTTTGTGTGAGATTACTGTATGTCAGTAAGTCTGGTGCAGCATGATAGGACACACAACCTCATCACCTTAAGAGCGGTCCTGAAACCTAAAGTTAACATAATCTTAATTTTTGGTTGGTTTGTTAGTGTAGGCAAGTATGTTTCTTACCCGAATGACTGTTGAAATGTGCAAAGTTGGCAAAGTTTGCGTTGCCTGTGGACTGTGAGTGTGGAGGCGCAAAAATGTCACCACCCAGATCACTGAGCAGATCAAACTTCCTGTCCTGATACTGCTGATGGGCCAGCTGAGCGCGGGACACAACTGGAGACTGGGGTGAAAATAAAGCACAAAATTAACAATAGAAATGTGTACTAAAATGTAGAAAAACTGAGTATGCAGGTTTTTTTGTTTGTTCGTTGTTTTTACATTTTTGTGCTCACCAAGGCTCCATTTGTTTAATAAAAATTTAATTTAGTATCAACAGTTCAAAATATTATAACAATGTAAAGTAATTAATAAAAGTAAAAATGCAATTTATTCCTATTCATGGCAAAGATTATGCTTATTAAGCTATGCTGCTTAGTATTTTTGTGGAAACCATAATGCTAGGGATGATTTGATCAAGATTTTTTCAGCCGATACCAAGTACTGATGCCTTGTCATGGTGATCGGCTGATACAGAGTACCGATTCTGATGCTTCAAGCTTTACATAACTTTGCCACTGCAAAAAGCGCATTTTCCCTAAAAGTATGATACTTAAGTGGAGATCTCACCTTACCTAAGTGAATAAATGAAGGATGTTGCATATAATCCCTTAAATACACCTTTTATAACTATTTAGTGTGGACTTGTCTTTGTCAGAAGCAGCTTTACAGAAAACAATAAATAAAACAGATAAAAAAAATTACTAACAATCAGAAAACACTGCAAACCATGAAAGAATTCAACATGCCTTAATGATAAAAAAAGAGTGCTTTTTTAATGCTTAAGAAGTTAAAATGCACACCTATAAATATATTATTTATTTAGTAAAAGGAAATAGGCCTATAAATTACTGTTTACAGCAATAAGAATATTACAACAAGTTATATTATTAAATATTCAAGTAAAAAAAACATATTTTAAATTCTTTTTGTTTCCAGATAGGGTTTAGCGAACTTGCAATATTGTCAAAAACACAAAACTTTCAGTTATTATATGTAAAAAGGTCTAAAACAATTGCTGGATGAGAAAGGGAAATGTGCACTTGACATATCTTTACTGCTCCATTCACTAACCCTAACAAATGTAATGCTTAGAAAATCGCTGTGCCTTTCCTGCACTTTCGTCGCCATGATTTCCAGGATGTTTTATCTAATTTATGGGCATCATGGAGTTGCTATGAATACGCGAGACTTGCGGAGCTTCTGGGTCATGAGGTTGGATGAGACCATACCTGCCAACAGTCTCCCGTATTTCAGACCAATCTCCCGCAACCCTCCCATTTTGTTATTTCTCCAGGAAAACGTAATTTCACCCCCCCCCCTTTTTTAGTACAGTCTGCAACACCCCCCGTTCGCCATCTTTGGTACAGTATCCGATCTCAACAGCCGCCCAAAACCCGGTGCATTATACAGTTACTAACACAACTAAACAGTTACTTTCCTATCCAGGTTCTCAACAGTGATATTTAGAGACCTCACCCCTAATAACCCCCTCCCGCCCTGCTCTGCTCCGACAAATGTTGACAGGTATGGATGAGACATTGTAAACAGAGGTCGCACCACATCTGTATACATTTTAGCTGTTGTGAAAAGAGCGCAGCAATTGCTCACTCATTATTTACCTCCTCATGTGTTGTAGCTGCTTTATATGTAACTGGGTGCGCATGTGCGTCTTCCTTTGCTTGTAAACTCGCAAACCAACACTTGTGGTTGGTTCATGAGATCGGCCAGATCAGAGGGTACAGATTAAATCATTAAATGTGATTATTGGCCGATACCGATCTCTGACCGATCGATCAGGGCATCCTTTTGTAATGCTTTTAGTTTCAAGCTGAATTGTTTGTGAATACAAGAAACAGCCTTTACTCAAAACAAGCCTTTTGTAACATCATAAATGTTCATACTGACAATTTTAAACTCTCATAACGCCTTATTAAAGTATAATTTTAACATTCCAGTTATGTTTACACCCAAATAATTTCAGAAAAACGTTATACTTAATTAAAACCATGCTGTATTGTATCAGTATTATATCTTATTAACGAGTAAATGTTTTTCTTTTTACTATCTTTTTACATAGTTTCAAGTTAAATATTTAAGTAACATTTTCTTAATTTGTAAGATTAATTACTTAATGATAAATTGATCTCAAAACATTTATTTCCTAAAATGTTTTATTCTCTTCTTCTGGGAAAAAATAAACCCAAAAACAACGGTTGATTAATCCACTAACTTACACTTTTTTTAAAAATTGAATTATAATGTGTATATCAGTTGTTACCTGGCTAGGTGTGTTTTTGTTGAGGTGTAAACTGGGCACTGACTCCCCCAGTAAAGTTTTAAGAGGTCGGACCTCTGGAGTGCTGCTGGTGCTGCTAGCAGACGAACCAGAGATCGACGCATGAACCGATGCCACAGTCTTTGCCTGCTCTGGAGGAACATACCTGAGAGGAAACATTGACAGATCACATTTAAATAAGCAGAACACACATGCACAGCAATCTGTTGGTTTTTGATACAGACTGTACACATTTGCCTATGCAAATCCATTCTTCAAGGTGTACAATAAAAACTGGTAGTTTCAGGAAGGACTAGGAAATAATTAATTCATATGATCATATACAATAAAATGCAAAAGATGACAATATGTTCTTTTTCGTTTTGTATAAATATGTTATTTTCACATAATAAAATACCTCATTATTTTATGGACATTTATTTTTTGGCATGTAGTCACGTAATATGAGAATATGTGCAGTTTACTTTGTGATAAAGACGACTATTGGGTATATAGTCTATTAGTATAACCAGGGCTTGACATTAACATTTTGATCACCAGCCACGGTGGCTAGTAGACTTCTAACTATACTAGCCACTCGCCATTTTCACTAGCCACAATTTTGTTGTTGGGAAAATCTATTTTACATGCAAAAATTTAACTTAGACATGCTTAAATTTCTTGATTTGTTTATGAGCTTGCTCTATGTGCATGAACAAATGGGCTGTGGTTTCAGTGTCGCATTGCTATAAGTTTTTATGACTTTTCAGGGCTCAAAATAAAAGACTTACCAAATTCATCTCTGACCACAACAAAAATAAATAAATAAATAAATAAATAAATAAACAAATAAATAAAGTAAATAAATATTTCTAAGCCACACACTTTAAATAATGTGTCAAAATTAGCTATATAGCTGTATACATGCACTTTTTATTACATGAAACCATTCTTTACGGAAAAAAACAAAACAATAAGTGTTTATATACATTTTTACTACTAAAATTCTATGGCTTTTCCAAGGCTTTTCTAGAACTTTCAAGTACATTTTCATGACATAATATTTCATGTAATGTCTAAATATACATGGTAAATAATAAGAAAAACAATGACGTTCAAATTTATTAAAGCAAATAATAGAACACGCAATGTGAGAGCAAGTTTTTTGGTCAAGAACAGAAAATAAGACGACAACTAACCTATATTCAAGTTAGGGCTGCACAATATATCGTTTCAGCATCGATATCAAGATGTCGCATCGCAGGATATGCAATGTTGGGATAATAGTTTTGTATACAGTTTAATCATAATGGTGTAAAGGTTTATCATCTGCATGCATTTTTAAAGAGAAAAAAAAAATTCTTGCCATTTTCATTACACCTTTCACTTGTTTATTTAATAACTCCTATAGCATTGAAACAGGTGAAGTGTAAGAAAATAATGAGAAAATTTTTAACTTTGAGTGAACTGTCTCTTTAAGGCCTGTGACTGTGCGAACATTTTGTGTGAATTTTATAACAACCGGCCACAAGTCATTTTTAGTAAATTTAATAAAGATTAAATAATTTACAAAGAAGACTATAGAGTGTTGACTATTTAATATCTGTACCTGAATAGTGAATACCTGAAAACTATCATTTATCTTCATTATATTTGATCTATGCTTGTAATTTATTTGTTATATATTATTCGAGATTCACTCCCCTACAAAAATACCCAAAATAATCCAAATAAAGCTGTTAAATCATTTGGTGAAATTGTGAAATCACTTTGCAATATATATCACAGAAATACAAAACCTCAAAATGTCCAATTTTTCCAATATCGCACAGCCCTAATTCAAGTATACAGATATTTGTTAAACAAATCCAAAACTTTTTCAGGGCTGGAAAATGCCACGTCAAAATTCCATGACTTTTCCAGGTTTTCCATGACCGTATGAACCCTAAACAATTGACATTTAAAAAATAGGTCTCCTATCACCAGTTAACTACACATAAATGAGTTAACCTCCTAATAAAGCAATGTTTTTGTAACAGCAATGATAATTGAACCATATAACTGTAAGCAAATGAAAGCATGTGATAATGAAAGGATGATCATGTGCACATGGTTAATGTTAGGTACATTAACAATCTGTTCAAAGAATGTTTAAAGTGAAAGCATCTGCAGGATTGTGGGTGTGCAATCGTCGCTTTTTGTCCAGTCTATTTTAAAGAGAACTGATCGCACCAGTTGCATTTCCAGGCACGGTTGCTTCGCGCAAGAAAACAGGAGCATGCACGCTTTTTAAACAGAAACATGTGTGCGCGTGTGATTATCCTCTCATTCAGTATTTATCTGCCTTCTTTTGCTCGTGCGGACACAATTATTTTTTTTCTCAGTTGTGCTGCTTTTCAATTCTAAGATCACATTTGCACACATATTAAACCATCCTTAAAGGGTCATGAAACCCTCAGCAGGGTGTTTTTACACCTCTAGTTTGGAAAAAGTCAGTGTCCAGCTCGGTTTACGTGGGAGTGTCGAGGGAGGGAAAGAGGGAAGATTTTGCATAAAAATGGGAGTTTCCATTTGGGCACACGCTGATTTACACAGAGGCAAAACAAACACACAGACGCAGGGGAAAAAGACAGTGACTGTGTTTACATGGACATCAGTAATCAAATTATTTGACAAATTCTTAATTTGTCGACTTTAACTGCAGTTTGGCACTTTCACATTTATTCAGGAACATTCCATGCATGCTCCCCGTGACAAATTAGATATTAGATGCGAGGATGAACAGCTGGAGAGTGTAGTTTTAATGGAATGTTTAATACCGCACAGCGGTACCATGTGTGTATAGACTACAGGGCTCGAAATTGCGACCATTTTGGTCGCATATGCGCCCGAAATTTTATCTATGCGACCATATTATACCATATTAATATTTTTGGGAGCATTTCTGCGAGTGCTTAAAATTGTTGTGTGCGACCAGTTTTTACTGCAAAATGTTCACCACATGCGCGGATTCGGGAGACATTCACGCAGAATGCATCTCTAAGCTCTTTGTTTGCACTTGGAACAGGAAACGCAGCGCTCAGGAATGGTTTTAAACAGTTGTCATGTCATCTTGCTGCAGTAAACAAATCCAAGTCCGTAATGCTTGCCCCGCCTTCGCGCTCTTCTTATTGGCCCACTGCTCTAGCACTGAACGCGAATGATTGGTTAATATCAGCTGTCAATCACTCAGTCAGCGCCTTCTGGCTTCGGATGACAGAGAGCTACTACCGCGGAAAACTAAAGCGCTAAAGATGAGATTGAAGATAAAGCGGACAGATTTAGTTTTAGAAACCATCTAGTTACAAATAATGACACATCTTACTTGTGACCATGTGCTGAATGTTAATCCACCATCTACACTTTTCCAAGAGTAGAAGACTTCTGTTGGCTTCAAGTCCGCTATAAAAAGTCTGTGGGTTGGAGTTTTCAGGTAACTGTTTGCCACATCTAGCACGAGAGCTTCTGTTTAATCCTTCATATAATTGCCAAATGCTGTCCGCCGTGCAAGGGACAGCTATATGTCAAATTTAACATCACGTACACCATCGCAAATGGGCTTACACTAAGTAATTAGTAAATTAATATCGCTAACTTACTCATGAAAAGACCGGTATGGCTATTAACATGACGTATGCATATAATAAGGTACAATATGTGTCAAAAGCATCAGTGCAATATCAGACAGCACTTGTGAGAACAGCACAGTTAACGTTATACCGTTAACAGATTCATTCAAGCAGTGCGTGCAGGGCCGGTGAGCGCGTGTATGCTTTGGTCACTCAGTTATGTTATAAAAATCTATTTTCTTGTAATCACGGGATTTCGTTGAGACATTTTCCTCACGCACGCATATTTATATTATTATTTTTTTGCTTGTTAGTTTGATTAGTGTTGATTTCAAATACAATAAATCTGTTTGTATAAAACTTGTAGTAACGGTGCTCATAATTGGTGGGTGCGACTAAATTTTGGCTGATGCGCCTAAATTTTTAAAGTTAGGAGCACCGGTGCTACCAAGCAAAAAGGTTAATTTCGAGCCCTGGACTATCATGTCACAAAATGCGCCGAAAATCCTACACGACGGTAATGGTTTCATTAAGGTGTTAACATGTTTACATTCGGAGAGCAGCAATTACAGCAGATCTTTGAGTCCAACATATTGTACTATAATATTGCAGTGATATTAACGTTCTGTAAACTTAGTAACTAAATCATTTTGATTAAGGTCTGTCTTTAAAAACTGAAAGAATACTGCTGACGATACGAACTAACTTTGAACCATTTGAATGAACAAACAAAGGCCACTGATCACACACACTTACCAAATCTGAAGAGACAGGACAACCAACAGCAACTGGAGCCACCTCTTTTTAAAAGGAGACGAGCAGCAAATCCAGATTTCATCATTTACAAATGCGAAAAGCTCTCGGGTAAAAATTTTTCTTTACTAACATATTTCTGTGGCGTGTCGTGTGCATTGTAATCCACACGTGAGTCCAGCAGCGCTCTCATAGCGGGCAAATGAAAACAAAACCTTCATTGCAGCACATTAATAAACGCAACACTGATGACCAGTGTCTCCAAATTCTTATTCTTCCACTTGTTTTGGCAACACAACGTGGTGTCTTTCTGCTGTCTGAACACTGTAACGGGTAAAAACAGTCCTCGAAGCTATCATGCATATTAATAAAGTTGCACCGCATACACAATAGAACGCGCTGATTGGTTTGAGCAAAGTCTTTGTCATGAATTAATGCTGCACACTCTGAGACGTCACAATGCACTCGCAAGTACAGACATCCAGTCTCCATGCTGGAATACGCATAAGTATCTAATCGGCGTGACGCAGCTTCAAAAATTAGTTTCAAACAAAAGAACAGTTTGCTCAAAATAACAAAAACAACCAATTTTTACTTTTTAGTGAACATATATGTGTTCTAATAGTGTTTGTAGCAGAATGGGACCCTTTAAGAAAACTACAATTTAAAAATTATTTTCAACCAGCCAGAGTGGCTAGTGGGAGTGGCTGTCTAACCCGCCACAGCTGAAATCTACCTGCATTTAGCAGGTGTTAATTTTAAGCCCTGAGTATAAGTACACTAATAAATACTATTATTATATATTCCTACAGGTCTTTCAAATATGAGGCTTGTACGGACTCATTTTTGTGTACACTGCTACAGACGTGATTCCTCAATTAAACAGCGAACATCTAAATAAAAATGTCAGCCTTAGCTCTTACCATCTCTTCTTTTCGTATTTGTCCTGAAGAAACTCTTTGACTTTCTGAGGCTCTCTGAAGTCTGGGATGGCCAAGTTCCGGTCGTCATAGAGGCCGAGCCATATCTGTTTACATACCTGCATATGCATTGAAACGCAGAGAAAAAATAAGATAATCAGACATCCAAAGAGCAACACCACAAATATGTGCAACAGATTCAAACATATCTGAAGGTTATTAAGGAGATTTCTTTTCCTCAAGGGCAATTAAAGAGAAAACAAACAGCTAGATCCTTCAGTAACTCACTGCCTCATGAAAAGACAAACAAAACAATGCAAAACAATGCAAAACATGATTTCTCAATGATATTTGAGAAATAAACTATTATTGGAGAGTCAAACACACATGATAACATAGCAGATATGTGAAGCTTATGTGGCTTAACAAACCGGACATTAAGTGTGTATGTGTGAAGCCTCTCACAGCACTGAAGACACAAGACACTGCCTTCTTTTAGATATAATCAATGCAGACACACATTTACTTAAACACATCCACACCCTTAAGATAGGGGTAACAGTGGTAGTGGCTCAATCATTATGCATAGAAACAGCAAAGAGTAGACACACATTATCACTTGACACTCAGAGAAGAGCTCGATGACCCTCAAGCCACAATGTATAAAAGACTTTGTGTGTACTGATTCAGCTGCTACATACATGATTCTGTATGGCATACTGACTAAATAGAACACAGTAGTCTATATTTAATATATTCTTAAACGGTATGACTTTTCATACTAGATACTAGACAGTCAAATATATTTTATTTCTCTGGATTTATTATAATTTAATAATTTTTTTGTTTTGTTTTGTTTGATTATTTTTTTTATTAATATTTAAATATATCCATTCCCAAACCCTATAACCCTTACATAGAAGAGAACAAAACATAACTATTGATCACTTTAGTCTACAATTACAAATAAAAAAAATTATAAAATAAATAAAAATAAATAAAATAGGTGACGCAGTGGCGCAGTAGGTAGCACGTTCGCCTCACAGCAAGAAGGTCGCTGGTTCGAGCCTCGGCTCAGTTGGCGTTTCTGTGTGGAGTTTGCATGTTCTCCCTGCATTCGTGTGGGTTTCCTCCGGGTGCTCCGGTTTCCCCCACAGTCCAAAGACATGCAGTACAGGTGAATAAGGCAGGCTAAATTGTCCGTAGTGTATGAGTGTTTGTGAATGAGTGTAAGTGAATGTTTCCCAGAGATGGGTTGCGGCTAGAAGGGCATCCGCTGTATAAGTTGGCGGTTCAAATAAATAAAGCCCCAGACACAAGCAGAAACACTTCCTTTGTATAATTAGCATTTCTTGTGTGTATTGCCTCTTCTTGTTGAATCATTGAATACCTCCTCAATTGTAAGTTGCTTTGGAGAAAAGCATCTGCTAAATTACTAAATGTAACTGTAAACTCAAAAAATTAAAACAATAAATAAAATTAATCTCTGTACAATATTGTCTCAACTGTGCTTTGTTTTCCTATATGGCCCCGTTTACACTGCCAGCTAAATGTGACCCAATTCCGATTTTTTGCTCATTCAGATATTCAGAGATCGGTTTCAGGCCTCCTTCATATGTGGAAATAAATCAGATATAGATCGGATATGTGACGGTTTAATGACAGAAAGAAGAGTGTGGAGATGCCGACGCGGTAAACAACAGAGGAAACACAGAGGAGGAAAGTGGTCAATCACCACAATTTGCTCCCACCAGACCTGAGATCTCACTCGTACCCACAAATTCCTCTGAGTGGAGGAGAACATCATTAAAGCATATAAACCATAAGCGCAAGCTGCGGTGACAGCTCTTTCCCACCTCCGCCTCAAAATCATTTTAAAGTTGGGCGAACTTTGTTTTGTAACTTTTGCTTTTTGTCGCTATTAATATGCACTGCGGGCTACACATAGAACAACTTTATTCTCTCCAACACCAGTGCGCACACAGGCAAAAGCTACGTCTTCAACTACACACACAGCTCAGGGCTATACCATTACATAAACTGCGTGGGGGTAAATCTGGACTAAACCATTCACTGCTTATACTACACTTTGTATATTTCGCACAGCTAAAAACAAGACCATTTCTTTCATCGTAGCTAGTGTGGCACAGATGCTAGAACCTGCCTTTATGCATGCGCGACATGAATTGTATGGCAAGTGTAAGCGCATTATTTGGATATGGGTCACAATTAAAACTACGTGTAAACAGACAGGCAAACAAATCAGATATAGACAACATATCGGAATTGGGCATCAAGAACTGGCAGTGTAAACGGGGCCTATGTGAGAATGAAAAAGTATTTAGAACTATTACCAATTTTACTTGTATGCAAATAAATGTAATTAATAAATAAGTCTTGGTGGTTAGCACTATCACCTCACAGCAAGGTCACTGGCATTACTGTGTGAAGTTTGCATACTCTCCCAGGGTTGGCATGGGTTTACTCGGGGTGCTCCAGTTTCCCCCACAGGCCAATGACATGTGCTAAAGGTGAACTGAATGAAGTAAATTGGCCGTAGTGTAGGAGTGTGAATGAGTGTGTATGGGTTGCAACTAGAAGGGCATCCACTGCGCGTAAAACATATGCAGGATAAATTGACGGTTCAGTCTGCTGTGGCGACCTCTGAAATGGAGACTAAGCAGAAGGAAAATGAGTGAATCAAGGCAGCCTTGGTGAACTTCAGTTACTATTGAAACAAATCTTGCCAACCTTGACATTTTAAATGATAACCTAATCTTGAATTGCTCAAAAATTCATGTCACTTAGTAAGCTAGACAAATGACTGAAGATATGCCAGCATTAACAGTACGCGTGACATGCTCTCGTCGTCAAAAACCAAATGAACAAAGGACCGACAGATGCTGAGAGACTTTAATACACTAAACCTGCTGTGTGATAAGACTGGTTTAAATTGGACCCACATAAAACACTTTCATGAAACAAAGAGCTCGCTCACACAAACGCGCACAGCTCATTCAAGTTCATCATGCTTAAATGGGAGATTATGGCATGCGTGTAATAAGACACAGATCTCGCAAATAGGAGTCTTCTCAGCACGTAACATCATTTCCAGCTCATCCTCGTAAATCAGACCTCACGAGACCTGGGAAAAATCCCAGGAATGTTAAACAGGGATGGAGAAAAGGAGGAGGAAGGGAGATAAAAAAGCGCTCTCATCTTTCTCAGTTAAAAGAAGATCTTAGAGATTCTGAGAGATCTAGACTTAAGAGGAATTTCACCTGCCCTCAAAAATAAGTAGAGTTCACATGAATGTTTTAAATACCAGACAAGTAATTTTAAAGTACAAATTCATTTTTAGTGACTTTTCTTTTATATATGCACCACGATACTCGCTTTAGTTTACTCATGGGATGTTTTTTATCTCAATCTAAAAAGTTTAATTATTTAAGCTTGTGCAAAAAAAGCACAACACATCAAGCATTCTGTGTCATACGGCTTTAATCTTGCGTTTGCATTGACTTTGCATGTAACCTACTTGTGCGAATACTTAATTTCACTTTTTGTGTGCACCCAGCATTACAATTAGGGATGCAACAATTAACTGATTTCACTATTAACTAAGCTATAATTCATCATGGTTAATTAATCGTAAAGGTTTCTTAACACCGCGATTCTGCACGAAACAAAATACCACTCACACTAGATTAACTATGGCTGAGACTACTAACCAAGTTATTCATTTCTAATGGATGTGGATGGTTTGCGCGCCTACTGGGACTGACCCGCATAGTACGACATGCTCAATATTTAAAGGCGCACCTAGTTAAAAGAATGCCGCAAGCTACGTGACAACAAGAAGACCGATCAGCTTCATACTTTGTATGGAATATACACATTTCTACTCCAAAGAGGGAAAGAAGTACGAAATAACAATTATGGTCAAAAGTGACTTTCAGAGTTCAGCAACCTTTGACTACATTTCTTCTATTTTAAAGGAAGATACTTAGCTAATATGCAGCTCAGATTTACATTAGACAAATACTACTTTTAATACTTAATATTTTTAATTATTAATTTATTTGTTTATTTATTTATTGTTCCAACATTTATTTGCAGCGTAAAATTATTACTTATGTTTAAATGTCTTTTTATATATTAAATTTTATATTATTTTCAATTAAAGGATTTTTAAGTCCGAAGAGAAATGGCCTGTTGTTGTTTTTTATCATTATTTTGTGCTGTATTATTTGGTTACTGAGCCGCAATATATAACACTTTAAAATAAGGAGTTTTCATGTGATTTTCTAAACTAGTAGCGTTTTGAAATGAACGAATGCAAAATTATCGTGATAACCATGAACACTCAATCCTTCGCACCGCCCCTGTCATAGCAGCAACCCGCTCGCAAAAAATACACACTCAAGTCTGGTTTACACTACAATGTCTTAGTTTTTAATATGTTTCACCAAGCATGTCTAAAAGACCTCCTTCCACAATATAGCGCTGAAAACGCACATCCTGTGACCACACAAACATACACATACACTCTGCCATGCGCTGCAGCATATGCACAGGTCAGAGCAGGTCTCTCCTCAAGGATGTATTGCTGGATGACGTCTCGCTATAGTTGTTAAACGTGATATTTAATTCAGCTTGTCTTTATCTAACTACTCTTCGGCCTTGAATCTATCAGATAACGTGTCACAGCGTCAGTACACTGCTTCAATCTTTCGCTTTCACGATTATACTTAGTAACTTTAGCGAAAACCTCAGATACTGTTGGTTGGTTACTGTTGGTTGTGCACCCTTTTTACCAACCAAGTTTGTCGACGCCATTATAACGACACAGATCACTCTGCCTATTCATGCCAGAGTCCCGTTAAAAAAAGTGATTGACAGGTGGTAATTTGTGTGTTGCTTATCCTTATTTATTTATGATTTGGTTATGGGTAAAACAAAGACCATGCAGGTCAGGTAGTTGAAACTGTAGTCTATGACACGTTATGAAACGTGTCATAGCCTACAGTTCATAGGCTATGACACAATTCATAACATATAAAACACCTTATGAATTAATTAATTATTCATAAATAATTTAATGCACTGATGACGACATCGTACGATGCCAAATTGGTCGACATCGCCCAACCCTAGTTGACATGTTTTGCAATGTTTGGACAAGAAAAGTGTATTGTAAATTGACAATTAACTGTCTAGCTTCTACAACTTGTCTTTAAACTATTTGACTTGAATTTTATAATAATTTTTGTCCATATCGCCTGGCCCTAAAATTAATTAGTATTTTAGGGTCATTTAATGTAAATCACATGATACTTATTTTTTTTTTAAATGTGCCTGCTAAAAGTATTGTATAAAAAAATACTATACTACAAAATTACATTGAATGACATTTTAGCAGAGGTCTGCTGTAAATAATGATAAAACTGTATAGCAACTTTTAAGATAGAAAGAAATACCAGAAATTTCCCTTATCTTATCATAATATCACGCAACCATAAATCATAAACTCGGTGGCGTCCGGATATCAGCACTAAGAGTCAATAAAACATCATAGCACTTTCGACCATGACATCATCAATTACCTCATTTCCATGCTTCTGTAGAAGTTCTATTTCCTGTTGCGTGAAAGTCGTCATGGAGATGGACTTCACTCTGTGAGGGGGATTCAGGCCACGTCTAAAAGAGACACAAGAGTAACAGGTTAACTGAATAATGGAAAGTGTTGTACATTGACTACAGCGTGAATGAGATTTCCTGCTCCCTCAGTCTGTGACTCTTCATCATTACAAACATGCTTTTAACACACAGATCTAGGACAAGGACAGACTGTTTTGGTGACTGGCCAAGTCTGTGTGCAGCGAGAATTTGTGTGTGTGTGTGTGTGTGTGTGTGTGTGTGTGTGTGTGTGTGTGTGTGTGTGTGTGTGTGTGTGTGTGTGTGTGTGTGAGAGGGGGTGGAAGAGCAGGGATAGCGTGTAAAGAGAGAGGTGAGCTAATGCTGCTTTCAGATCGCATTGGAATTACTTTATTTAGGAGAGGAGCACACATTTATGGCACTAGGATGTTGTAATGGGTTTTATTCAAGCCCACACTTTGTGATATCAGAAAAAAATAGATATTTGTTTGGAAATCTTAAACAAGACTTCCATTTATGTGTTTCTAAATATTTTATTAACCGTTTAAGACTGTTAGAAAATAATATGCATCAAGACATATGATACAAAATAGACATGTGGGATAGTTTTCGTCTATTGTAATTGTTGTTTTAATATTGTGTGAGCTGACAGGCCTGTCATTCGCTTGTTATGAAAGCTAAAAGTAAATCTATACACATTATTGTTTTCTATTTTTTAAGAATACATGATAAAGTTGTTGTTAAAAAAATCTGCTGACATAAATGGGACAACATGGCAAAAAAATAAAACATAAAAATACAGTAAAACAATGACCATTTATGTTAAAGCAGAGAGATGCTTTTTAATATTTTTGTGGAAGCTGTGTCTTTTACTTTTAGTAAGTTAAACGGGTCATTAATAATTATTATTTCATAACAAGTGTTAGAGCTGCACAATTTATTGAAATAGATTGCGATCTTGATTCGACCCCCTAGACCCCTAGAATTATGAAGATTATGATGTCATCACTTTAGTGTGAATTAACAACCAGGACATCATAAAATCTGTTCAAGTCCATTATTCCAAGCCTTTAGAGAATGTAGCATTTAAACCAACAGCAAACCAACACAGAATCCAAATATTATTGTTGTTTTTACCATATGTTTGAGAATAACAACAATAATATCCATCTCATATTATTTCTTGATTTTACATCCACAGAAAATCGTGATCTTCATTTTAAGCAACAAAAAAATTCATTCTCATTTTAGCCAGAATCCTGCAGCTCTAAAGGGGCAATATATATTGCATCACCGAACGATTGAGGTCACGTCCATGTGTTGTGCGATAAGTCGACATATTGATTATTGTGATAAGCCTAAACCTCACAAATAAAAAACACAAGCACGTCACAATAAGAACTAAAAGTACAAACGATGATGAATCATCTAATGGTCCAAAGTCTTTAAATGAATCTGCGCTTGTGTGTTTACTCCACAGCCTCATGATCTTTGAACACTTGATCTCCGAATGCCCAAGAGCAATGTAAACATGTGTAAGAGCTGCCCATTAGAAAGCCTGTTTCCTTCCTGTATTTACCCTGTTAGCTTGCTCGGATTTGCTCTCTAGGGATCCGAACGCATGTACTGCAGGGAAGCCACCTCTCATTTCGCTTACACATCCGTTTTCTCATTTCCACCCCTGATCTCTTCCTTTCTCTTTCATCGAACAAAGTCATTTGCAGCTAATAACTAACAGGAAGTTCATTGAGGCAGTTAAAGAAGCGGTAGATTTGTAGAACATGTTCATTTATTGGTGAACTATACCTTTAAGAAACTCTCTTACACCAGTTTCCATGCCAGTGGGATAGGAGATTACATTAATACATGTATAAGTATGGAAAAGACATTTAGCGCAGTCCCTCTGTTCTGAAACGGGTGACAGTTCATTTGACACCTGAGCCGCAACAGATGTTCAAAACACCACACGCATAAACACACCCCCTCGAAACCCTCAAAAGGCGCATGCAGACAGACAAACATGCCACTTCTGCACTAACAACTGTTGCCTGTTTGCATGTGGGAATGGAAGTGAGCTGGTAAATTTCCCTCAAAGCAATTTTCCACCTCTGAGGACGCCACCTGTAACTTCCTTTGCATTGTATAGTGTTTGTGTGTGTGTGTATGCACGTATCTCTATGCATAAATGAGGCCTTCAGTGATAAATTCTGAAGGGCATGAACAGAAAGGGCTTGGTAAGATTAGAACAGGTGCTAAATTATTCACACGACCTGCTGCGGGCCATTGGCACAGGGTTGGGATTCTGTAACTGCGGCCCCTAAGAACCATTCGACTTCGACAAATGTTAAACTTCCAGAAGCCGAACGTCTACATCTTACAAACTACTTATTTAAAATGAGTTGAAACATCACAAATCAAAAGGGAACAACTTAATCTTGTTTAAACAACTTAAAATCGTAAAAAGTGTATATTAAGTAACTTTATTGATGATGGTGCCTAAGGCGTAGTGGTGAGTGCGTTGATACATGCACTAACGTGCTCACAACCTATGCTGATCCTTCCACTCTTTCTGCTCCCCATGATTTCCTGTCAATACTCTCTACTGTCCTATTCATTAAAGGTGAAAAATAATAATAAAAAGGTAACTTAATTTATTCGTGTTGGGAGGACATGAAGGAATTGTGTGTAACCCAGGGTTTTTTACAGTGTGAGAAAACTTTTAAATCATTACACCAGGAATAGTTTCTCAGTAGGCTAATAGTATAACCTTTGATTATTATGCAAATGTGTAATGAATATGGAATTAATTCACTTGGAAGCTGCTTAAAATTCAAGGTGACTCAAAGGACATCTCACTGCAGAGGAAGTGCCCTGAAGTAACCTAAAGTTCCTTGCTTAAAAACAAAATGGTCAAATTGTGAATTTATATACATAAACAAGTGGATGACTCTCTATCACACACACACACACACACAACATAAACCATTGGCTAAAGCAGACTCGTGTGTTTTTTGTTTTAAAACGGTTTTAGAATGAAACTTAGATTCAGGAAAATGATCTCAGTCTACAATATAGACACAATAAAGATACTGGAAAAAACTGACATTGCGAAATATTTTTTATAAAATTGTTGCAAATTTATTAAAAATAAAAAACCTGAAAAATCAAATGTATGCAAGTATTCACAGCCTTTACTCAATACTTTGTTGAGGCACCTTTGGCAGCAGTTACAGCCTCAAGTCTTTTTAAATATGATGCCACAAGCTTGGCACATCTGTCTGTGCGGGTTTTTGCCCATTCCTCTTTACAGTACCTCTTAAGCTCTACCAGGTTGGATGGGAAGCGACTGTGTACAGCCATTTTCAGATCTCTCCAGAGATGTTCAATAGGATTTAAGTCTGGGCTTTGGCTGGGCCACTCAAGGACATTCAGCGAGTTGTTGTGGAGCCACTTCAATGATATTTTGGTGGTGTGCTTTGGGTCATTGTCCTGCTGAAAGATGAATGCCTTCGTTTACAAAAGGGTCTATTATGAAACTAAACAAGATTTTACAAACTAAAACCTGTTCATTTTCGTAACAGTCCATTTTTGTGGATCAAAAATCCTTTTTGAAAACTTGAGAATTTTGAAAACTACTGCAACGACTACAATTACTACAACTACTATGACGACTACTACTATGACTACAACAACTACAAATACTATGACTACGATGACAATTACTACTACAACAACTACATTTACGACAACTACAACTACTGACAAATACAACTACGACAACTATAACTACTACTACTACTACAAGTACAACAACTACTACAACTACTATGACAACAACTACGACAACTACAACTACTACTACTACAACAACAACAACTACTATGACTTCGACAACTGCTACAACTACTACGACAACTACAACTACTACGAAAACAACTACTACTACTACTACAACTACTACAACAACTACTACGATTTCGACAACTGCTACAACTACTACTACTACTACGACAACAACTACTACGAAAACAACTACAACTACGACAAATACAACTACGACAACTATAACTACTACTACTACTACAAGTACAACTACTACGACAACAACTACGACAACTACAACTACTACTACAACAACAACTACATCAACTACTGCGACTTCGACAACTGCTACAACTACTACTACTACGACAACTACAACTACTACGAAAACAACTACAACTACTACTACTACTACTACTACTACTACAACAACAACAACAACAACTACTACGATTTCGACAACTGCTACAACTACTACTACGACAACAACTACAACTACTATGACAAATACAACTACGACAACTATAACTACTACTACTACTACTACAAGTACAACAACTACTACGACAATTACAACTACTACTACTACTACTACTACTACTACTACTACTACAACAACAACAACAACAACTACAACAACTACTACGAAAACAACTACTACGAAAACAACTACTACGAAAACAACTACAACTACTACTATGACAAATACAACTATAACTACTACTACTACTACTACTACTACAAGTACAACAACTACTACAACTACTACGACAACTACTACAACAACAACAACAACAACAACTACTACTACGACAACTACAACTACTACGAAAACAACTACTACTACTACAACAACAACAACAACTACAACAACTACTACTACGATTTCGACAACTGCTACAACTACTACTACGACGACAACAACTACTACAAAAACAACTACAACTACTACTATGACAACTACAACTACTACATTAACCCCCAATACTGATCCTTGAGACAGTCTAGAAAGATCCCTGCCAAATGTCATACATTAATATTTTAACACTCAAAATGAGTAAAGTCCCTTTTTGTATTCAATTGAAGAAAAGAAAATCTGAACTGATGAAGATCAGAAAATTCTGACAGAATTTTTATAATTGGTTGAACTTAGTGACGTTACAAGCTTGAATTGGCCTGAAGAAGAAAAGTAAATTATATGAAATAAAACTGCACACATA